AACAATCGGGCAGGACAGAGTTGTCCAAAAGAGATTGGTAGATAGCCAGAAGGGATGGAAGAACGTAGGGCTGGATCATCTTGAGGAAGGTGGGAGGGATACCGTCGGGACCAGTAGAAGAGGAAGGTTTGATGCAGCGGAGGGCCTCCTCGAGGTCTGAGGAAGTGAGAGAGAGAGATGCGAGGGTATCAGGGTTGGACGACAAGTTAATGTACGCGTCATGGCGGGAAGGTAGGGAAGGGGTAGAAACAGGTGTGAACGCTGAAGCGAACTGGCTACCAAACATGTCGGCAATCTCCCCAGGTGAGGAGACTATCCTGCCATTGGACGTGAAAATCGGCTCCTGTCGCGTAGTCTGTGACTGGCTGACGTAGGACCAGAACACCTTTGGTTCCTTCCGCGCTCGGAAAGCAATCGTGTTAGCAAATGCAGTCTCAGCAGCGTTTAGGTCGGCCTTTAGGGAGCGCTGGAGTGCCTTTGCTCGCGAAAGTGTCTCAGCGCGCTGCAGGCGGGCCGCACGCTTGAAGAGTGCCCGCTTCTGAGCAGAGCGGATATGTTCTTTTGTGATCCACGGGGCTCGAGAGCGTCCCCGGCGAGAAACAACACAGGGTACGCACTCCTTCTGGATCGCACACACATAGTCGCACCAAAGGTCCATGTTCTCCAGGCAGTCGTCGCCCATAGTCGTCATGCACCATGGGGTGAGATGAGACAACCTAGCCATGTGCTCTCTATCAGTCCGGTGAAACTTCCATACTGCGCGAGCGAAGTGGCCCTTGCGGGGAAGCGCCATGGCGTATGCGAGTTCGATGGCCAGGTGGTCACTTCCGGAGAGGCCAGGGTAAACATCGCAGGAAAGGCTTTGAGTTGGATGGGACACGAATACAAGATCGAGGAAACTGGAGGATGGGATATAGGTGGGGGAGCGGCAGATCTGGAAAAGCCCCAGTGTCGACACCAGGCCCAGAAGAGTGTCGTCAGCCGCATCAGAAGGGATGGGAGTATCAGTACCCCACCAGTCGATATGGCTGTTGAAGTCACCGAACAGCAGTACTTCGCGATAAGGCTTCGCCAGCGCTTTGGTCAGCGATACGTCGAGGAGGTCATAGGCAGTAGCCCTGGTGGACGGCGGGCAATAAGCTAGAACTAGGAGGGAGCTGCCTTTTGGGCGGCGGAGTTCAAGAAAGACGGCCTCCAACTCCGGGTGCTCCAGGTCATACCTCCTGACTGCCGGGAGGCTGGACGGCACGGCAATGAGCACACCACCACCGTGGGATGGACGGTCACGACGATGGACGTTAAAGGAGGTCTGGCCGAAGAGCTCGGCGTCACAAACGCCAGCGTCCAGCCACGTTTCCGTAAGGAGAATGACAGTGCTGCCGGGGAGGGCTGAGGAGGCGAGCTTGAGGTCTGACAACTTATTCTTCTCACTCCGGCAGTTAGTGTACCAGAAGGTGACAGTCTTGTTGAACGGATTGCTCGGCTTGGGGGACGGTGATGTGTCAGGGACGCCCGGCGCGGAGGGAGATGAAGAGTCAGGGGCAGCCAGCACCTCGAAGAAGTTGTCTGCGAGCGGTGGCAGCGAGCAGACTAGGCAAAACCATGGGTCGCCTCCTTTACCTAGCTTGCGGTATTCTCCTAGTGACATATAAACGCAACCCCGATGAAACTAACCATCGCACGAGTCGCAGCAGATGGCCGCTTGATTGTCTCGCACACGCTTCGTGCAGCTCGCACAGGAAGGATGCTGCGGCCCAGGGTTTGTTGCGATGTCGCCGGCCAGCAGAAGAACACAGACGGTGCGAAGGTCGAGGCGGTGTCCCGTGATGCCGGACAGAGACAGTCGGCGGTGCGGCTGGGAGATGCGCCGGTGTTCCGTCGCCGTTTTCGAGCTAGGCCTAGTAGGTGTAAATGGACCGACGGCCGCCCATGCGGAAAAGCTCGGGGGAAAGGGACTGGCGACGTACACTGAGATCTGCTGCTTGGCATGATGGTCGAGAGCTAAAGAGTTGTCAAGTCGGAGCTTACAAAGCGCTACGAAGATACAGCATAGCCGGAGCAGCGCAAACATGCGACTACCCGCCATGGAGCCACCTCGGAGCGGTCCACGTCCACGCACACAATCGCCCAGTCAAGCGCACGAACGTTAAATGGGCACACCAACACGGGAACACGACAACAGCACACAACACATGGCAAGAACGACAGGTTCAGATCCCAGAAATCAGCATCTCGCACATTCTGATCGGCCCCGACGACCCCGCCAACCGGATTCTAGGATGATATGCGTGTGCGCTGCATCATTTGAAGCCGTTATAGCCCAAAACAAACAAATGAGTCAATCTGTCGTTTGATAATGGCAACACAGGGACGGCTCGTTCTTCACTTTTAATGACTTAAATTTAATAAAGAATGCGGCTATGGAACTTCTTTGTCAATTTACGAATGTCTTTTATAAAAAATTTTGACATTTTGTCGAACACACAGAAGACCAAAAAGTTTACCAATTTCGCAGAAGAGAAACTTCATAGAAATAAAAACTTTTTACAAAAAAAAAAACTTTCCATAGCAATACCCTCTGGGCATTCTGCTACATATCTAGCAAATAAAAATCTTGAGTATTGCGATAGTTATCGTGTTGCTGATAGAAGCTGCTCTAATTTCCTTCCCATTTAACCGACAGACCTGAAATTTCGTCATGCATCATCTAGCATGACCACCAGCCTATCCTGTAAATTTCATTCATTTTAAAGGGAAACTCCGCTTCATTTTTGGTTTTGAAAAAAAACAAAACAATGCAGTCCTCTTCAGTATCGCCTAGGAAGACCACACGTCAAATATTACGACGCAGTTCTGTCTAAATGTTTCATAAACGGTTCGGCAAACTTTGCAACTCGCCAAGTTGCCGAAATCGGTTGACTCGAGCGGGCGAATTCAGGCGCAACCAACAGCGCAGTCAAGGCTACGGCATGGGCGGAGCCAACATTGAGCTAAACGTCACAATCATGGCCCCCTATTGCTTGTTTTTACTTCTCCGGGAGAGTGTAGCGCATGACGTCAGCAACGTTGCCTCTCGGCGCTCAGGCTCAGCGGTGTCCACGTGATTGCCGTAACGCGTCTGCGCAGCGCGCTTCTTGGGAGCCGTCCGGCCGCCCGCCGTAATCCCGCCGTTACCGCCGTCTTCCGAGTCACAACCACCGTCGTCGTCTCACCGTTTGTGATTATTGTCTCTCGGAGTTTCGTCCACACTACGGACACAACGTGCGCAGACTTATGCCGCAGTTGTGCAGACGTCGTCGAATGCCGTAGACAACAAAACGTGGCGAAGAGTACGGTGCCAACGACACTCACGCCTGCCACACGCCCGCCCCATTCCCACTGTGCCGTCGTTGGGCCGAGGATCACGTGACATCTCGTACCACGTGATGGCCATGTTCTTGGCGGCCCGAGGCCAATGTTGCCGGATGGAGCCAAAGTTTCGGTTTCGATTTCTGCACGTGTTTAAAATTAGATTTAAAAATATATATCCCATTTTTCGCGAAGCAAAAGACATAGTGTCTTTTACTCGGGCTTTTAAATTTGAAATCACTCATTATCCCGAAATCTTCGAGTTGACCCTCCTAGGAGGTGTGTCTCGGGCCATCTTGCTGTGCATGTGAGAGATTGCGGGTGCAAACCAAACATGCTTTCCGAGACAAAGGTGCTTTAACATTTTAAGGAACAAAAGACTAGAGAGGTGTATGAAGCGTGCAAGATTGCAAATAAGGGCCTAGTCTGTATAAGTATGCCTTCGATTGTTCAGACGGCGAAAGAGCTCGATTCTTTTCATTTTAGTCCCTAAATTATTGTATTCCTTCTTGTGATAGCCAGTACTTTGGGTCACCGTCAACTCTGTCGCTCTTTTTCCTTTTTGTGATAGCTATAGCAGCCTTTGGGTCACCGTCATCTTTGTCATTCACACGTGAATATTTGTACATAGATATATTCACTTGGGAATTGGTTTTAATATAAATTGCCATTCATTTAATATGACTCTCGGAGATAAGTTAATTTCTGGTAACTACCTTCTCCCCCTTCCTTACTTTAATAACCGCACTTGACATCTTTCTTATGTTTCACTACCTCTTCATAAAAACCTGTTCTGAGTCAGCGCTCTTTACTTCCTGTTGCCTCTTCCTTCCTCACCTTATTTGCGCTGTTTAAGTCAACAGGCCTCGTGCACTGGCGCATTTGAAGCTACTTCAAAGGCAAATGCAAGCACCATCGGAGGTACCCAATTCACACGATCATAAGGGTCCCTTTAGCTAAGGGACCTTTATCACTTTGCTAAAAAGCGAATGAGTTTGCAATCCACCGCGAGTGGTATTTGCTCACTACCCAAGAGTGCTCATCCCACGGTTGCCACAGGGTGGGATGGCTCTTGGGCAAGGTTCGGTTCGGAGTAGCCACATAAGAATGCCCACAGATAACACCTATTTTAGACAAATAAGCTACACTACTTGCTGCTAGTTATCCTACATTCCCAAATGAAAACTATACAATCGGTCAATTCCACTTGGAAAAGCTGATTACCGAACACTAAAGTCCTTCTCACACATCCATGTTTCAGCGCAACATGTTCCATTGCAAAGGTGGATTAGAAAGCTGCCGAGCATCCCTGCGCAAAAATAGTACATAGTTGCATTGAAATGCAGTCGACGGCAGTCAAGAACCAACGAAAACTTGCTGTGGGTGCTTCCAACTCGCGAGTAGCAAGCGACGTCTTTGACATGGCAGTGCCAAGCGCTAGAGTCGGCATGGACTTTTCGTTCTGTTCCCAAGACCTGAACTGCTTCCAAACCTAAATAAGCAAGGTTTTGTTCCAAACAGGCAACCAGAAGCCCAGCCAAACACAAACGTTGGGATGCACCTTAATTAAGCGTGACTATTTTTTAAAATGTTCAGAAACCATAGCCTGCAGAGAAGCATGTCCACCTAAAAGAGTGCACATCACACAACTGTTCATTCCCATAGCATTTATTTTATTCTCACACTTCCATGACCTTTTTCTTCAAAGAAGGGAGCCACTCCAAATGTCACGATTACATCGAATTTATTTTCAATTAGAATTGTATAATACTGCTTCATGGCTTTTGTAACCAAAAAAGTAAAATTTTTCAATTTGGTGCGTTGTTTTTGCACTACCAATCTACACCTGCATACTTGAAATAGCATATGCACGCACCTCAGGCCAAAAGGATGATAACATATAGAAAAAAAATAATGGAGAAATAATAGCCATTTTTCCCCACCCCAAATCAAGCACATCACTAAAAAAACATTGCTTAGAGTGCTTGACAATCGTAAAAAATCCACCGCACTTACCATATAAATTACAAAGTGATATCACATTCAGTATCATACCTATCAGAGCTACACAATAGCAGAAAAAGAGAGCACATAATCAAGACGATACTAGCATTGTACATACATGCAGCTACAAGAGTGGCAGAAAAAGTGGACGCGAAACAAACATATACATGCCTCGTATGCCGACAAGGAGTAAAAGGGTGGGTATACATTACGCCACTGAATTTATTGACTGCCCCAATGCTGCCAGAACGGCCAGAACATAAAAACTAAATGCATTCTGTGTCTGGCCACACCGAGGTTAAAAAAATTTAAGAGGAACAATGGAGAAACCAGCGCACGCATCGCGACCTTTGAACGACCTTGTCAGTCACAGCGGTCGAAGACGCTTGGCCCCCCATCTGCTTTTGGTCGAGATTACAGCTGCCTTTTCGCGTGCTGGGTCACGCCGCTCCGACGGAGAGGGGCGCTCCAGGGTTGGGGATGCCCGGAATGTGACTTCGGCTGAGCGTGTCCTGGATCAGCACCTCCACCATGTTCCTGTCGTCCTGAAAACCAGACACAAGCAGATGTACAGGTGCATCTAGTTGGCTGCATTCCGGGCACCAGAGTTGTGCAAGAGATGCTTGCAACCAGGCAAATCGTAAATATCTTTTGGATAACCCGGACTCGCCGGCTCTAAGCGGTGCAACGTAAAGTAAATATGCAGGCGGCGACGGACCATCGAGGAAGTTCGGCTTCCAGGTCAAGAACCCAAGTGCCGACCGAATAGATCACGAGCCCTCGGATCCAGACCGCGACTTCGCAGCAGGGTGGACTTGAAGAAACCAGTTTATTCTGTTGACACCAAGGTGGCCGCCGCCGTCTTGACATCTCGCCTGACCCTGCCGCCAGTTTCTCCTTCTGTCCGGGGCCATCTCTGCTGTGCTTGCCACAACTGGAGCTTTCTTTTCACGTTTTTTTCCCTGCCTACGTTGAAATTATGTGGATTCTATATGTTGTTGCTATATTTCGTGCCTCCTGTTAATCAACTTAATTGCTTTCTAAACCTATCCAGTATTTTCTTTTTTTTCTAATTCATCGAGTTGAATTGGATTGTGAGTGAATCGACGACGCAAGAATACGGCCTGAATAATATGTTATTCTAAGCGAAAATCCAACGTCTTGAAAATTTTCACCAGCTTATCAAAACGACGGCCACGTAGACACGGCTGAGGCATATCAGTTTTTGTATTGATAAAAAGAAGCAACTTTAGGCGCCACGCTGATGCAAACTCCTCACATTTTGCTGAAATGTAGCAGAGTAAGCAAGTTGTCGCTAACGGTGCAGCAATCGTCACTATAATCTGTGAAGATCTAGCGGTCATCGAGCGTTCGTGCTAAGAGGGACGAGCAATGTGTTACGTGCTGCGAGCATGCTTACAGATCAGCGACCTTCGGTTTGTCCCATTTGCTCGCACGGCTCAGCCTAGCGTGAAAACTACTGGTACATTAGAATAAACGCACATGTCACCTAAACTTGCGCGACGTATTTCTGTGCAAACGATTTCTTGGGCTTCTAAAAGTCGACCAATTCAAAAGTGTCAAGCCTAAACTGCCTGAATTGGGCATACCGTTTGAGATTATAACTACCGCCACTGCTCCATCAAAGTAGCGGTGCTTCGATGGCACAACCATCTAAGTATTGAAGCAACCATTATCAATGCCATTCTTTATTCTTCTTTTAATTGGGGAATCGGTAGCTTGAAACTGGCCCCAAACTTGGACAGTCCGTGGACACTAGCACGACATGTTTAGAGCACACAGTGTGGCTATGTTGCCACTGCAGTACTTGTGAACTGTCACTAAGTGAGTCTTGACCGCGGGACGCGGTTTTTGCATCTCACTGTCATTTGCCGCCACAACCGCGTCCGCAAATGCACGCTAGCGGCCATAAACGACGTCTCCTGTAGGCTAGAAGAGCCGGCACAATTCAATTTGGAAGTCAGCGATGGCGGTTCGGAGAAAGCGCCGACTGGTGGCGGCCCGAGTAATTGATACACGAAAGGTGTCTATAGAACACCCATTCACTACCGCTTGCTATTCAACTAAACAATGCATGCAATGATGCGTCCCATTACTTGCCAAACCTTGCCACACGAGTGAAAGCTATCCATGTCTCAAATATTAATTTTAAAATATTTTTCCTCACATTTCCTAACAAAAAATTGGTGTTTCTGAGGTTTTCATACTCAATAGCCCGTATTTAGGCAGAGAAATGAGCGTTAAAATTTAATTCCCTTACAAGTTTTACTCGTAATCCGGCAGCATGTAGCAATCGTGGATATGCGGACATGGCACTCAGGGCTCAGCTTATTTGATTACGCCGTAGGAGTCAAATTTCTGGACGCCAATAAGCGGCTCCGAGGTCGTGCTTCAGCGGCGGCACCGCTGTCGGCAAAGCGCATGCGCAGACAGTTTACCTCAGTCGAATCTGGTTTCTGCATGTGCGCAGTGCCCAGACCTCGTGCGAGCAAATGCGGGCCTGTTTGCAAACGGCGCGTTGACTTATAAAGACACACTTCGGCACAATAGCTATCGGCCGCAGATGTTCTCCACCCCCCCTTTTTTCCTACTTTGCACCACCGTAGTGGTGAGTCTCCTGTTGCAGCACCTGAAGAAAGCTCAACTGAATGCACTCATTCATTCAGGCTAGAGCAGTCTTGTACACATTACTCGGAAAAAGTAATCAATTACAATTAGACTCGGTTATAAAGTATTCAATACGCTAACTCAATTGCCCAAGAATATGAGTAATTGACCGTTACTTAAAAGAGCAACTGTTACTTCTCCGACTACTTGAGATTTTCTAAACGACAGAGTTTTCTGCCAGCTTGAAAACAGGTTTTTTATACTTTCCATTATTCTATTAGAATCACCGAATTATAATTTACTTATCTTAATCCACAAACTTTAATAAACCATCCTCCTGTCGGACACTTGGTTTGAAAATTTCTTGGTAGGAAACTTCGAGAAAGAAAGGGTGTCATTAGAGAGAAAAATATTCATGGTTACAAGCAATTTCAGTACCAGCAAAAGTAGTCCGATTATTTCCTAATAAATGTATTCCAATGATTATAAAATTACTCCAAAAAGCAATCAATTGCAAATAATTTGTAACGAGTACTACGCAGCGCACCTTGTTGATAAAGCCGTAGTGGACCAGTTCCGTGACCAGCACCGACGGCGTGTCCTTCAGGGAAAGCTCACACGTCAGCTGCCGATTCATTTTGTCGTCCATCCGCAGCAGCAAGGTCATCTGGACACCGGGCAGCCAAGTGTGAGTGGGAGAAAACGGATGTCGAGGGCCCCAATCTATGCGGCGGGACCGATCGGGACCTAGGGACCGGGACATTGCCGCCCGCTGCGATTGGTCGGCGCCGTGCTGCTGACTGATCGCACTTCGTCCCACTTGGTCTTGCCGCATAGGTTAGGTACCCAAGACGAACCTACCAAGAGCTATCCAAACATACATGGGCAGAACTCACTCACGAGTGCACTCGCTTGTCATCACCATACAACGCGAGGATTGAGTAAGTTCAGAGGCCTAGAAAACTCTCGAGTTGGAGGTTGAGTGAAAGGTGTGAGGTTGTCGATGGGTATGAGTTTGGTGAAGACGTGAGCTCGGCAAGATCGCGAGTTTGATGAGTTCTCGAGTGTGGGGGGTTCTCAAATTTGGTGAGTTCCCGAGTTTGTAAGCTTGGTGAATTGAAAAGTTTATAAGTGAAAAATTCAAGGAGTGGATGGCTGTGAGGGTGAATGAGTTTGAGTCGTTTGTTGGGCTGAGCTTGAGAGTAAAGTAATGGCTATTTCCTTCATTTCAAACCTGTTGCGGCTGAGCAAGTTAAAATGCAGACGTCTGGCCGTCCCACCTAGCTAGCCTCAGAGGCCAACATGACGTGTTGGCCTCATTAAAAGAGAATAAAATTTTAACATTGTTTCCAATCCATTTTCTTATATATTCCAGTACGAAAATTTTAAAGAAGACAACTTCCTCGTCGTCAAGAACACAGAAGACAAGAGGCAGGACCAAGCGGAACAACAATTAATAACTTAATACCAAAGAAAAAAAAACGAAACACAAATACTCATAATTGCTCGCAAGATTCTCCAAGTTCGTTCCAATGCCAATGTTCACCTGTCTCCCTGTTTTTCTTTTTAATTGGCTTTAAGGACTAAAGAAACGTTTGGTCAATTACGGCCCTCATTTTTTATATTATATTGGATCAAACCTGTTATACCGTCAGGTGGTGCAGGTCGAGAGGAACAGTTTATTTCCTTTTTTTTATATCTCACTTAGAAAGTTCTCAACCCTGGCAAAAGTCACTCTGCTGCTTGTGAAATGAAAGCCACGTCAGCTGCTGTAAACGACTTATTCTTCGCGGGCTCTATATTTCGTGATTTAGTTCAAAGCTGAAGTTCTGCAATAATTCACAGGTTGTAATTTTCGCGATGTGGTGGGATCTCAATATAGATTCCAATGTGTTTACATTTCAGCGGAACTGTTAGCGGGCTTTAATTTTCGCAAATGGTAGTCAATTTGCGAAATTCGCAAAAATGAGGTTTTCGCAAAAATTAAGTCGTTTACAGTAAGCTAAATGATGCTAAACGCAGATCTATGTAGCTTCGATAAATCCTCCGGTGAAAAGAAAAATTCTGTTCCCTGTTAATATAAAATATGTTCTCAGCGAGGGCAACCTTGAGAAAACACGACATAAAAGCGTTACAACCGAGAAAACAATGTCACCTGTGCAGCGGGGCTCCCTCACAGGCGGTGCACCACTCCCACCGGCTGGTGTAAACGATCATGCGACCATAGCATGGTGACAACCAATGCTGTTTTTGTCGGTCATGGTGAGAGCGAATGTACCGAGATTTACTGATCCCAAAACATTACATACAATGATTTTGTTGGGTATACTCTGACAAAAGAACCGTTGTAAATTTTTAACACAGTCTGGTGGTAGCTGATAAAACTTGTTTGCTCGACTGACGTCTAACTCCTGGTTAGCTCAGTTGGTAGAGCGCTACACTGTAAATGGAGAGGTCTCTCGTTCGATAGCTGTGTCCAGAGTTTTGTGTTTGTCCTTTGTCCCATTGTTCCCCTTCTCCAGGGATCATTTTCGTCATTCTTGTCCAGCTGGCTTCCACCTTTGCATTTAATTGCATTATTACAGATAAGGATTTGCTTTTCTAGGTCATTCCTTATGACGAGATCTGCTAGATTTTGTGAAAGGCAGTGTATGTTTATGATTATTATTTATGGATTATCCGAGCATTTTCGTGAGCCAATAAAGCAGGCGTTTGTCAAGAAGTGCTGCATCTGAAAATGATTTATGTTCGAAATAGGCACTCTGGCCAAACTATGCAATAGGTAAGGACTATCCATAAAAAAAATTTCTTCGGACAAATTTTGCTTTTGTGGGGGAGAAAATGGAAGAGAAGATAAGGTAGTCTAATGGCTCGCCCAGACAGGATACTTCAGAAACTGTGAGGCGACACGACTCCGACATAAGGCGAGCGGTGGTCCGCTTCTGTCCATTCTTTCTGTGGGGGGGGGGGGGGGGGAGGGGCCCCCGTCAAATTTTGCTCGTCTCCTCTACAGGGCCTTGAGCATGCTCATCACGCGGGTCCAGACAGCCACTCACAAGCTCTGTTGGCTGTCGATCGATTACTCCAGGCCTGCTCTTCAGTTCCCCAAAACAGGAAAGGGAAGGGCTGTGTTTGAAATCTTACCCAAATCGATCCGGGCTACTCTGGCAGGTCGTGTCACGTGATAACGCAGATAAAGCGACGCTGGACGTGGGTAGGTTTTCGAACGCAAAGGTACAAAACCCTCAGCCTGGAGTAAGATCAAGTAGATGATGGAACACGGCCAAAGATACGAGGGCCCGGCAGAACAGATGGACAGCATTGGTAGGTGGCGTGCGACGTCAAGTCTGACGAGCACCGAGGTCACCGAAAAGCGGAGGAGGCAAGGAGGGAAATCGTGATGTTTGCTTGGTTGTGTTCAAATGGACATCAAACTGGTGGACTGCTGAAAGCTTCAACTTCCACGGTTTTTGACAAAGTCGTGTTGCCTCACGATTTCTGAAGTGTCTTGTTTGGACAGGCCTTAAGCAGAGTGCACTCCATTATATTCTAGCAGAAGCTCCCTAAAAACTGTTGAATGGCCACTGGCTGCTTCCAAAATAACCACTCAAGCACAAACACACCAAGCACTGTTTTTGCAGCACTTTCTCTGCAAAAGACAACAAAAAGCTGGTAATAAAACACGAAAATTAAATACATCTTAATCCCACAAATATGGGAGCCAAAGAGTGCCCCCACGAAAGGATGCATATATTTCTTTTACATTCAATTAATTACCGTATTTGTCCGATTTCCTTTTTACACTCGAGAATAACTACTCTAATGTGCCTCCAATTTTTGCTGTCGTATCTGGTTCTAATGTGTGGGCAGTTTTTATGTATATCTTTCCCTAAATAATGGTGCACACTAGAATCAGGCATGCACGGCACCATTATTAAAGGGGCCCTGCAATCATATTTAAGCGTCTACCTTTTTTGCGGTTTCCACGTCTCTTGAAGTTCGGGCAAGCCAGCCGGCACGGAGAGAGTAACTAAATATCAGTGCGGCATATTTTAACCAGACGACGCGGAAACCTCCTCCACCGACGAGGGCGACCCGCGGTACCGAAAGCGCGCAAAATGTGACGTATTTGGTCCTTGGCTTACTACTGGTCAGAGCCGCTAAAAGCTTGTTTTTAGTCGAAATACAAAATATAAGTGGCACGAACCGTTTCAATTACTTATAAAAGTAGTTTTTATTCACTATTTTAGATGAGAAAAGAAACAAATGCAGTTTATAAAGTACGGAAACAAGAAATGACCCGTCGACATACCCGCCACCAAGCGGAGGAAAAGGCGGCGATTACTAGAAAGAAGTAGTGGGATCGGGCGCCGACACGGAAAAATCCCGGATGTACGCGGCAGCGCTGCGGTCGTATGGGCAGGAGGATCCGACCGGCTCCGAGCCTTCCGAAGGCCGTCGGCGAGAGGCTTTGTCTTACGGTTTGGCCGTTTCGCGGTATGGCAGCGCGAAGTGACTCCCACTCTGAACTGATCTTTACCCCGTGTTTGCTGTCGTTTGCGGCCAATGAAGTGTCATGCCGAATTAGTGTTTAATCACGCAGCAAATGCAATGAGAGCCGCTCTGGCTGCCCGCTGCATACAGCCTGTCCTGAACATGCTTTAGTGGCGCCCTCTCACGCCGTTGACACGGAGTGCGGTAGCCGTGAGCGCTCGCGATGAGCTCACTACCCCTCCTCTAGTTCACGGCCGCTCAAGCAACCAAGGACGTCATGAGAGACGTTATTTTTTGCTTGTTTTTGTAATTTTGATTTGCCTATAACTTTTAAAATAAAGCGAATTTCAAGAAAATAAAAGTTTCACTAAGTTACTACGTTCAGTGCGCTCAGGTTCGGTACAAATTAAAAATTAGTAAAAACATGCTTGCAGGGCCCCTTTAAGTTGCGAGACATATTCTATTAGATGTCTCATTCACAAAATTTAGTGGATTGCTTTCTGCAAAATTTATTGAACATTAGCTCTCTAGCAGCCATGCGGCAGTTTTTCGTGATGCTCTTTTGTAATTTTAGACCCATCTGGAAAACTAGCCCTATAACACATGCTGCAATAATACTCGAGCCTTGAAATGTCCGACAGGCCTATACGGAATACCGATCATAACCAATAGTGGGAAAACATTACTGTGAACGAAGAACTGAATGAAACCTGCCAAGAAACTTGTAAAAGGAACTAAACGAGGATGACCTGACTCACCACAAAGTTCTGTGACTCTTCTTGCTGCTTGATGTTGCACATCATGTTGATAATGCGCCGCGTCTCCGCGTCAAAGGGCTCCGGCGACGCCGACTGCACCGACTCTGAGACCTCGGGGGAGGAAGCACGGGGCCTCACAATTGGCTGGTGCGACATGACAAAGGCTGTCAGAGGGTAGATGCCGTTCCTGGGGTGGAAGAGAGAGAATTCCACTGAAGAACTGCCACTTTTCGAAGGATAGTGGGACAATTATGCGCTTGGAGAGCAGAAACTGCTTCGCAATTTCTAAATAAAACTTGAGGCAGAGAAGTAATATTCCATCATTAATGCACTCTTTACAAAGGTCACGGCACATGCGTAAAAACCTGATCCGAAGGATAGGGTCGTTAAATAGAAGAGGTGTTGTTCCGTGGCATTCTCTGCCACTTGTGGCCGGTCCTGAATTTTTATGTAATCACGCCGTACCTTAACACTTTCGCACACTTCTGCAGCTCTATTGAATCTTTTCGTGACAGCAAATCATGCGCTATAGTTTATGACATAGCCCCACGGTTACACACAGGCTCACACCCTTGATACGCCAGTTATCTCTCGGTTCCTTTCCCAAGTCTCATCCTTGCCACAGTAGTAGTGCCAAGCTCATAATCTTAGGATTGTGGTGCCAATTCTCGTTGGGCAACATCTGAAATTTTTTCTACTTCTTAATTGTGTGTTCTACTTTAAAGATTTCCCTCTGTGTTATTCATCATAGTAATGCCACATCACACTTTCCTTGGGAATTCTAGCCCTTAAACACATTCTCTATTATGCTTCATAAATGTGAAGTCTATTATGAGTGTCACAAGCTACTGAAAGTGAAAGGATTGTTTCACAACTCCTTTAGAGCTTGGCATACAGAGTTATTTTCCACCTCGTTGAAAACTAGTTCTCTTTGCTTCTTTGTACTCATTTTCAAGTTCCCCTCCCTTCACCCAACTCCAATGCTTGATTAATTGTGCGTTTGATATGATACAATATATTTATTTTGGCTCAAGAGCCATGGCATCACAGAGAGGCAAGTTGCCATACTTTGAAGGCCCGTGGCACTGTATGTTATAATGATACAATGGTATTGTACAAATAAATTTTAAAACAAATGACACAACAGCAGTTAAGGAAGGACACTATCCAAAAAGGTAAATTTTTAACCTTTGGCTTAAAAAGAATAAAATTTACAGTATATGGTGGCAATTCCGAGGGAGAATGCAGTGCAAAGTTTCATCTGTGTACATGAAATGTGAAATAAATTATAGTGTTTTTGTCAGGAACACACTGACATTGTTTATAAAAACTATCAATAGAAAACTAATGTAACCCAACATTTTTCTTCACTAGATACACAACAGAATGTCTGGAGAGTGCAGCTGTGAAAATTTTTTTCTAGAAGTAATTGATTTTATGCTAACATTGTGCTAAAAAATTAAATGCATTTTTTGTCTTTCATGTTGTCGACAAAATCTTAACTTTTTTATAAAAGAAATACACAAAGTAAAAAAAACAATTCCACACTTGCATTGCCCATTAAATTCCAGTTAGAAAAAACAATGAGTGAGCCTTTTCTTTTATCCTGCTACCAAATGATAGGTTCCTAAAGTGAAATTTATGCCAAAAAGTGGAAGAGAAAAACGTGTTCAGAGTGCTCGACCCTCTACCTTTTTTTTAACAACAATGGACTGAATATAATTTATAAATAAATAATTATGCAGAGTAAACAAATCAGGCTTTCTGGAAATACTCTCGAGATGTTGGTAGATGTAAATACCGTATTTGCACGAATATAACGCGAGGGCAAGTTTTGATGCCCTCAAAAAGAAAAAAAAAAATTATTACTATTATAACGCGAACCGAGGCCGCGTCAATTTCTCGCACTCGGGGACATAGCAGAACTGAAAAGTCGATGGAAACAGAAGAAATATCAGTTTATGTTTTGACTGCGCTCATCCTAACTGCTCAGGTCCCTCCGTTTACAATCCACTTGGCGACTACGCAGATAAGCAGCAGCACGGCACCTGCTCGTCTGGTAGTTCCCTTTTCTTCGGTGGGAGCTCCTTGGCAGCCCACAATCCAAACAAGGCAGGGAAGCAGAAGCACCAACACACAAACACCAGATCACTCTGGAGCAGAAACTAGACAATGCGCAGGCAAAAAAAAAAGGACTGCTGAATCCGATACACGATCACACTTCTTGTTCTGGTCCCTCTGCATAAACAAATGCCTCGTGTTGCCATGTTGCACAATTGTGTAAACGCGGTTGGTGGTCTTGGCTTGGCTTGTGTTGACCTGACTTGGCCCGGCTTGGCTTGGCTCGAATTGGTCAGTGCCCGCATTCCCGCATGGCGCGCGCACGCGCTAAATTTCTGTGGGGTGCGCGCGTTGTGCAAACACAAAAGCGATAAAATTTTTTTTTTTGTTTTTTATTTGCTTTTTTACGTGGCCCAATAGCTAATAAATTCCCTTCCACACCCCCACTTCTTTTCCCACCGGATATTTTGCATTGAGCTGGAGGAATGACATTCTCCTCTGGCTTTCTCCAGACTCGCGCGCCTCGTGGCTGAACTCGATTTGGAGCACGTAATTTAAAAAAAAAACTCGCGTTATATTCGTGCAAATACGGTACGTAGGCCATTTTTCAAAATAAACATTATTTTCAGAAATTTTTCTTCCTGGGTATTGTCTTCCCCTTAAGGTTATAACAAATCAAATGAGGTAATATTGAAGAGAATGTTAGAATTCTACATGTCCGAGAGCTTATCTTAACAGGAAGAAAGGTAGGCTCAATCTTATATGATTACACAATGGACCTTGAAGCACTTGTGAGACCAAGCCATATGCTAGTCCAGGAAGCCTTCAATTAAAAAAACCCTTCATGAGCATGATGCACACTATCTGTGCCAACGTATCATAAAACTATGCACGCCAAATTCAAACCAGGGCTAGCTGCCAGGTGACATGTCCGAGTGCTACACCAACAAATAAACTACACTTTCAGCTAAATTGCGGCGCAACCTGTGCCCTCTAGGCATCAGTACAGCAAGCATTTGTTTCCTCAACTAGCACCTTATGCCTAGTAGCGAGGCTTGATAGAGCGTCCCACTGGTCTTGGAGAGTTCCCGAGATTGGAGCCCAGGCCAGAAAGGTTCTTTCAGGAGCACGCTTAGGGGAAAGTTACGCTCCATCGCAAGTGGAAACACTATTTATACTTTAATAAACCTTCCCCACCACAGGGACTTCCCCTAAATAACCATCACTTAAATTGGAGGGATTCTTAAACTTTATGATATTGAAACCATTATCTCTTTTGAATGGCAATCAAGGACTTCCTCCTCGTCTCGGTATAGATGTAATAAAGCACTGCAGAAGCCTACAGACATTGTAAAGATAAATGCAGATACCAAGAAAAGTTTTAAAACATTAAGGTGGACTAGGTGGATAAGCATAATGGAGAAATAGTATTAGAACCATAAATTACGCCCGATGCTTCGTGTTTCTGTCTTTTAACGTCCTTAGCGCTGTTCATTGTTCACAAAGAACTATTGCCACATAGGAAACAATGGAGGGCTCAGATCTTTGCAGTCATACTGTCACGAATTAAGGCGACGAGAAGGCGAACAGTGAACTGATAATAAAGGTTTAATGGGTGAACTTGTGCCAACCAAAAATAAGTAATGAAAGAGCGTCGAGGCAGCAGAAAAGCAGGCGGCGATTCGGCAGCAACACAGAGGGCGCGAGAGAGACTGAGTCGAAAAGGTCGCGGGCAGCTGCTTATCTACCGTGCGTCACTATCTCAAAAGTTCAACAAAGAAAGTTTGAGCGTCGCGCGCTCGGGGCCGAGGATGAACAGGCACTTTCGAGAACAAGCAAGTACAGTGTAGACCGCATATAACGTATGTCGTGGGAGTCGCGAAAATCCGCACTATAAGCGGTACCGCGCTATAACCAAAACATCAATTTTTCAGGCCAAAATACATGCCATGAGACAACTTACCTTTGTCAAACAATTTATTTTATGTTAGATGACAAATAAAGCTTAGTTTAAGAAAATTCTGGATTTCACCAGACTAGTACACTTCTCTCTCAAGTGTGTCACACATTTTGAAAGAAGTGAGCGACTTTTGCCTCGCGCAGCCTTTTAACGGCGTCGCGGGTTGCAGACGGACGTTGCGAGCGTTCAGGATTGTTAACCCTAATCACTTTTCTCCGGTGATGAAAACGCGTGAAAATTTGCATCCTTTATAAGGTACGCGCCAGTAATACCTTCAACTTGAGCACACGCATGAACTGCTCCAAATAAGAAACCCGGGCAATGTTCGAAAACACAAACGCTTAGAAATCACCACTGTAGTCGAAGTAAACAAACACAACGACACGGGCTTTTCTGCCGTCTTGGGAGTGCCGCCACGACATTGCCGCACGAGTAGGTGGATCTTCCCTTCTAGTACGTGCTGGGTTATCATAGCGACACACAACGAAAATTCACAGTCAAGGATAGCGCTTTTACGGGGAACGACACTGGGGAACGATGAGCGTCCACCACACTACAACCACACTGTCTACGTCGACGATCACAACCGACGCCATGTTTGCGGATAGAAGCAGCCGGCCCGCGACCGGCATGCAACGCGCGAACACTTCTCCTCGACCTGCGATTGGTCTGTCGTTGCGGTTGTTTCCAACATGCAGAGCAGAGGGACGCACAGCACGCATGTGAACGACACGTGCGTGCGTCCCTCCGTCGCTATGGCAACTGAAGCCTCTCTCTTCGCTTCTCCCCGCTTTTTCGAGCAACCTCCTTGCCCCGCGAGTGCCGCTTGCGGCTAGCGCAGTTATCTAGTGTCGCACAGAGAAGCGTGCTCGCTGCGTTGGCCGACGCGGTCGGCGGGCTATTTCAAAAACCGCACTATAACCGGTATTTCCCTTCGCGCGCCTGCATTTTAAGCGGTATGTAATTACATGGAGTTCTATGGGAGGCGGACCGGTGGTTTAAAAAAGCCGCGTTATACCCGGTCCGGCACTATAAGCGGTTACGTTGTAAGTGGTCTATACTGTAGGAGGGAAATTACGTCTGGTGTGAGAATGAACACGAATCCTCTAGAAGTCCGTGACCGAGCGTTGCTTCATCGAGCGTGCGGGCGGCAATCTTTAGCAAATATACTAGGGTGCAGGGACAGTCAACAAAATTTGGGAGCTTAGGGAGCTCAAGCAACCCACTGGGGTTCCTAAAAGAATTTGTAGGTTTTTAGGAGCTGAGGGGTTCACCAGACTACCCGCATGAATTCCCCAAACTGCCCAATTTCCCTGCCTCTAAGTGCATTTCCAGTTTAAGTACAGCTTGAGCAGGTCTGAGCAACCTATTGGCACATAACTATGGGCCAAACACTCCTTCATCAATATGAATTATTGCATAAAATGGCCGTAAGCTTCTGTACTGCTTTACTGCATCAATGCTGCGACAAGCAGGGGTCCTTGGCTGCCATTAGGAAGTTTTAGAATAGTGCAATCAAAAGATTTGCGCAAGCAAAGAAACGCCGTCGTCACCACTGTGCGTGCACCAAGTCCGAACTAGGTTTTGGACTGGCACATGGCGACGACGCTAGCTCTCCGCATTCAAGACAGGTAGCTCACTATTTAGAAGCTCCTCAAGATTGAAAAGTTTAACTCTTTCGTTACCACGAGAAAACTGACCCCTTTTAAAGGGTCCCATTATTATCTTTACAGTATAGACCACTTACAACGTAACCGCTTATAGTGCAGGACCGGGTATAACGCGGCTTTTTTAAACCACCGGTTCGCCTCCCATAGAACTCCATGTAATTACATACCGCTTAAAATGCAGGCGCGCGAAGGGAAATACCGGTTATAGTGCGGTTTTTGAAATAGCCCGCCGACCGCGTCGGCCAACGCAGCGAGCACGCTTCTCTGTGCGACACTAGATAACTGCGCTAGCCGCAAGCGGCACTCGCGGGGCAAGGAGGTTGCTCGAAAAAGCGGGGAGAAGCGAAGAGAGAGGCTTCAGTTGCCATAGCGACGGAGGGACGCACGCACGTGTCGTTCACATGCGTGCTGTGCGTCCCTCTGCTCTGCATGTTGGAAACAACCGCAACGACAGACCAATCGCAGGTCGAGGAGAAGTGTTCGCGCGCGTTACATGCCGGTCGTGCCGGTTGCGGGCCGGCTGCTTCCATCCGCAAACATGGCGTCGGTTGTGATCGTCGACGTAGACGGCGTGGTGGAAGCTCATCGTTCCGCGTAAAAGCGCTATCCTTGACTGTGAATTTTCGTTGTGTGTCGCTATGATAACCCAGCACGTACTAGAAGGGCAGATCCGCCTACTCGTGCGGCGATGTCGCGGCGGCACTCCCAATACGGCAGAAAAGCCCATGTCGTCGTGTTTGTTTACTTCGACTACAGTGGTGATTTCTAAGCGTTTCTGTTTTCGAACATTGCCCGGGTTTCTTATTTGGAGCAGTTCATGCGTGTGCTCAAGTTGAAGGTATTACTGGCGCGTACCGTATAAAGGATGCGAATTTTCACGCGTTTTCATCGCCGGAGAAAAGTGATTAGGGTTAGCAATCCTGAACGCTCGCAACGTCAGTCTGCAACCCGCGACGCCGTTAAAAGGCTGCGCGAGGCAAAAGTCACTCATTTCTTTCAAAATGTGTGACACACTTGAGAGAGAAGTGTACTAGTCTGGTGAAAAAAAAAACTTTCCTCAAACTAAGCTTTATTTTACATCTAATATAAAATAAATTGTTTTACAAAGGTAGGTTGTCTCATGGCATGTATTTTGGCCTGAAAAATTGATGTTTTGGTTATAGCGCAGTACCGCTTATAGTGCGGATTTTCGCGGCTCCCGCGACATACGTTATATGCGGTCTACACTGTATTATGTTTTCAAAATTTCAGTACCAACTCGCCCAAGAATCCGCATTACTCAAACTCAAGTGTCTAACCTAACCACTCCATGCACTGACAACAAGCATAAATCGCCTGGCACAGAAGACCAACAAAAACAATCGCAGGAAAAGGCTCGACAGGCCTTACCGACGTGCAGTCGTCGACGTTCCGGACTGATTTGACAAATCATTTTTGTCAGAACTGAGATATTATGGTCCACCGTCCTTTTCCGACTCACACGTGCTAGCAGTGTCATGAACAAAACTGACTGCAGACGCGCTCGAATGGCAAGACTTCAGACGCTATTAAGGAGGCGCAACGCGAGGAGTACACTCTTCCTTGGCTGCACATTTCATTACAATAAGTCGCCACCTTGTGGGAAAAATAAAAACCATACAGAAACTGGAGCTAGAGTGTCTAATCCAACCATCAGATGCATCGACAACAAGTACAAACTGCCCGAACTTTCAAGAGAATCCAGCAAAGAGCATGAAACCGAAACAAGACTTATTGACACACAGCTTTCGGTGTTCTGGGCTCATTTAACAAATCGCCGCTGTGAGGACTAAAATCTGATGATCCCACATAGTCTCACGACTCACTCGTACCATAGTATCGGCAACAAAATCGACCACAGGCGCCCTCGAATCATGAAACTTCAGAGGCTTCCAAAGAAGCGCGCCGAGCAGCGAAGATACCATGTTCGCAGTGCAGTTGCGTGTTTGGTTATGATAAATCGCCATCTTGCAAGAAAAAAAAAGAACTGTACGGAAAGACTTAAGAAGCCCTAATCCAAGTTAAAGTATGCGCGAGAAGGAACCCCGAAATGCTCTCGCGGTCCCCCCCCCCCCCGCCCGACCGAAGCAGATGGCGACCCACGCGAGACGCACCTGACGTCCTCCAGTAGCTTCTCCAGCTCGAGCTTGGGCACCTCGTTCTTGCGCAGTGCCACGCCGTCCCGTCCGTCCCGGTGGGAGATCTCGGCAATGACGTCCGCCTGGCTGTAGCGCGACACCACCGCCTCGTCCGTCAGCTGGTCCGGGTGGTAGGCTGCTTGCAACACACACACGGGACTCAAAACACTAAACGCCACCAGGGGTACCGCCTTCCATAGTCTCAAATGGGGAACAACAAAAGGACTCTTTTAAATGTGGTTTACGTCGACGTTGCATCGTCCACCAATGTGGTGGACCCGCAGCCGAGCGTGTACCGAGTTATTAAATTGACTCGGTTACGGAACCGCCCACGAGCAGTAGCCCAGCTCCTCCCCCAAGGTCTGTCTCGGGTTGTTCGATGCGCCGCCGTTTCGTGGAGGGACGGCCGCTACGGTATAACTATGGTTATGCAGATTTCAAAACGTGGCGTCAAGACGGCGCGCTTCACCGTACTCTATAAAATACACAGTTCTGAAATGCGGCATCTCGATAGTGCTTCAAACAACGGGCGGCAGACTTTAGGGGGAAGAGGGTATTCCCCTTTGCGGAAGCGTTCAATGCACTCAGGTTCAGTGCAAATTAAAAACCAGTCAAAAAATCGTTGCAGGCCCCCTTTAGGCCTTACGCCAAACGGATGCAAGGTGCTGTCCACACTCACAGGCACTCTTGACGATCACGTGGGCTGCCAGGACCTGCAGTGCATGCACCTCGAAGATCACCGGGTGGAAGAGCAGCTCACGCGCCGTCGGACGCTCTTGCGGGCTCTTGCGCAGGCACTTGCGGATGAAGTCCTGCGCGTCGTCGTCGAAACGTCGCTCACCGAGCCACGTAACGATTTCCCAAAAGGTTTTGGTTCTATAAGACAAAACTAGCTCGATTACTTAATCAGGCTGCCATGTAACAGCTCTGTCGACGTTTCTTGCGTTTCCTTTACCTGTCCCTTCTACAGCTGATGCCCAATGGCATATTCGATGTACAGCTGCAGCAGAAAAAGATTGACAGAAGTGACCGACGACCGGAGCGGCAAAATCGTGACCTGCGGCTTCATTAAGGCGAAAGCATTAGATGTCTCACTGTTCAGCCGACCTTCAAGGTCCTTGAGCGAAAACACGTTGACGACACGAAAGGTACCAAAACGTTTACGTGACCACTCAGGTGAAGTAGAGGCAATGAAATTAAGAAGGATGACAAAGCGAATTAAGAGGAATCAAAGTGAATTTCCAAACGTCGTCCTCTAGGCGTTGTCCTTGGGGTCGTCCTAGAGGTCACCCTAGACGTCGTCCTAGGGGTCGTCCTAGACATCCTCCTCTAGGCGTCGTTCTGAACGTCGTTAAGGACGTTCTAGAAGTCGTCCTATATGTCGTACACGTCCTTAAGACATTGAACATGACTGGCACTCTCGCTATCGGCGCGCTCAGGAACAACAGCACCGCGTGTCGAGATTTTTCCGCTTCGGTCGTCGATCACTTTTGTCAATCTTTTTCCGCTGCAGCTGTACGATCGCTGCCTGTCTTAAACTCCATGCCGAAAGTAAACTGCCCCGAATTTTAGTGCACCGGTGTAGGCTGGTGCAGGTAAAGCGAACGAGGACTGAAAAATGAGTGTTCTGAGTGAGTGGCGAGATCGGTGATGCGAAGAATATTTCTAAAAAACCGCCAAGATAGGACGGTATCAACATAGAATGGGATTGCGGGCTAATTTGGCTGTCTAGGGAACAACGGTAACAGAAATCTGATGCACGGCTTTCGTACCAAGTTTTACGGGAGAGTTAGACAAAGAATGTGTTGTGTGCCTCTCAAACCAATCTAGAGGCCCCGAAGGAAGGGCTCCAAAATTGGCAAAATGTTAAAACTATACACATCTGAAAGTATAAAAGCGCCAAAAAGTCAAACAAGCTAAGATATGCACAATGCATTCCTGCATCTTTCAACTTTAAGCCCAGAATGAAGGTAAGTTTCAGTCTTCGGAAGTATTTCTGAATATGGTGTGCGAGTACTATGGTACTAGATAATGTGCAGATTTTCAACTCTATTTCTCGATGCTTCATAGTGCCTCGATACTCCATTCACAAGGATCGCGGTTCACATCTTAAAAGCATTGAATGGGTCTCGCAGTAATTCTGCCACATTTAGCCGAAACATTTCAATCCATCTATTTAACCGTCCTATGCAGGACTGCGTTTTTGTAAGAAATGCGGACAGCACTAGAGTTCAATATCTTAACTATTTTTTTACGTAAGACATCAGCCATCAATACTAGATATCGCAGAAATACAGAGCCAAACGGTTCCTCAGCAAGAAGCTGGAGCAGTCGTAAGTGTCATTAGGTCCGAGGCATTGGCAGACTCACCTTCTGGTGGACGTTCTCTAGCGACTCTATCGTCTTGTTGACAACATCCTCGGTGATTTGGGTGCCTGAGTCGCCGTTGCCGGGGATTTCCAGTGCTGCCATCTGTGGGGCAATCGAGCCGAGTTCTCAACAAGTGGACGCGCTAGTGATGTGTGCGTACAACAACCCAAGAAAAACAGGGGAAGCACTGCCTTCGCATGTCCTTGTTTCAAGGTTCTTACGTATGTGCACAACAAAATAATTAACATAAATAATGATGTACCGGCACGCTTCACCCGAGAACTAACTTTGCTATGTTCTTGCCTAGAACGTAAGATCGCGCTTGCACTGGTGGTAGCAATAACACCGTTGCAGGCATTACTCCAGCGGATGTATCTCCAGCAGCCTTTTCAGCTACCTAAACATATTCTCGGAATAGTCGCGCTTTACTCATTCTATTTATTATCTTTACATTCATAATAACTATTCAGAAGACAACAAATCAAAGTTATACCAAAACGAGCGTTCAAATTTCTCCGCACTTTGCAGTGGGGTGATGTCACACAAGCCCAAATTTGACTAAAATCCTAGCACATGTTGTCACATTTTCTATGTTGCCAATAAAATCTACGATAAAAAAAAAAGGTGAGGATTAAATGTATAAATTTAATAACTTCACACAAAAAGAATTATTTCTACCTATAATTCGGGTTACTATTTTTGGTGTGATTACTGATTGGTTGAACCAACTTTAAGGCAAATCAAGGGCTGTCAAAATTTCGCCGGAGTAAACTTTTGAGTCGCCGTACGTGCACGGCAGTGATTAATAACTTGAGAGCTATCGACGAAGCGCTTCTCGGAGTTGAATTCAGAGGATGGGGGTTTGTAATCCGACAGAGATCTGTAAAGTACCTCCGACACAGAGTCCGAGACTGCTGGTACGTCGCAGAAGCGGACACGCCAAAACAAAACTGAAAGCAAGAAAGGCGGCAGCATTTCTCCCTCGGAATTTCGATTCAACACTTGTGAATCCGAACAGCTTGCAACCACCGTATGTGCTCCCGTCAGATAACGAAAAAAGAAACCCGCAAATCGTCCTATTTTTTGTACCCCCCCTTTGAAAAGAAACCCGACCACCAAAACGCGTCTTTTAAAAAAGAAAAAAAAAAATTTGACCGCGAATGTGTTAGGCAAGACAACTCGATGCACTCCTCACCTCGAGGGCACACATCCCGAAGGAATAGATGTCAGCCGCCGGGGTCACCATGGAGACTGCAGGAAGAGCAGAAACGCACGGTCACACGGTGCAACTCAGCGGAGCGAACGTCGCGTCGCAGAAAACGCTCGGCACGACGCCAACTAGCCACCAGTCTGAAATGCTTGTGGCGTTCAACCTGGCATACAGCACACTACCCGTTTCACTAACGGAAAACAGTCGCAAAAATTACCAGGCCAAAGAACTTAAAGGTGCACTAAAGACGTTTCCGAGATCGTCTGTTCTCAGTGGTAACTTATCTTACAAGCTCCAGGCATCCTAGAACTCCAAAAATTATGCTCGTACGACGTCTATTTCTCTACTAAAAATGTGATCGAAGTTCGTACCACGTCCCTTTCCGAGCGGAAAAATCTGGAGCGTAAAATCCGGTGCCTCCGCTGAATTCTGTGCTCCAGATTTTTCCGCTCGGAAAGGGATGTGGTACGAACGTCACACGAGCATAATTTTTAGAGTTCTAGGATGCTTGGAGCCCGTAGAATAAGTTATCACCGAGAACAAACAATCTCTGAAATGTCATTAGTGCACCTTTAACTATAAGTGACACGATCAAAAGCAATCCCCCCGAACATTTGTTTCATAACACTTGGCGACTAGAAACAGACCCGCAATATCGTCTTCGACGGCGCAAAAATCACTCGAGGAAGGAAATACGAGAAACAAAAAGAGCAGTACCGTATCAATCTACGGTCGCAAAAACAGCTTTGATGCCTCATTGGACCCTAATGTACCGGAACACTGGCATGGCACCCTCCTGATATCAAGTCGCGGCCTTACGGCTGACGATCAGTGTTGCCATCCCTCTAGCAGAAAGTTTCGGTTTTGCCGTAGACGCCCGAACCAGACTTTGAGCCGTCATATTTTATAAAACTATGCGAAATATCAAAAGAAAAAAAACTCTTACCCTAAAATTCAGGGACACTGCTTTAGGTGAAAACGGTCATAATCCCAATTTTAAAAATATTGACCGGAGTTGCTCTTTAAGAGAGAATGAGAGTGGTCTGTGTTATCTTTCACTACACTGGCAATAACCAACAAGTGGCAAAGCAATGCACGCTCTGCTGTCGTCTAGCTTCAGCAAATAGAGACAACAAAGAAGCGCGAGAAAGAGAGGATATGAAGAACCCGACACGTACATGACTTACTTCCGTATTCGGGTGCAACAAAGTGCACATTCTTGATGTTTTCCCGAAACGTTTTGACGTGGTGGTTAATGGCATCGGGTGCCACTGGAAAGGGAAAAACAACGACAGACAGAGTCACTCTCGTGAAAGGGATTGCCCAGAGGAGACTCTTCGTCAATGTCACCAAAACGTTTTGTGGGACACATGCAATGTGGTCGGGGCTACTGCGCTATATCTCAGATTTATGAATAGAGTAGCATTTGTCTCGAAAAGATCTACTACAAAAGTTACCAACCGGATAGTATTGGCGGGGTGCATCTTTCAAATGCCTGGTCTCCAGCACGCGCTTCGTGTCTTCCACCACACCTTGGCTGCTCGCATGCACTCGAGTTGGACGTTTCGTTAAAGCGTTGCCCAAGGTAGGAAGGAGGCTTGCGCCAGTGGCAGAACTACTGAAGATCATTTCTGCCGTTTTTACTTTGTCAGCGACTACAGTCGACTTCAAATAACCTGATCTTCAGCCAGACGCCAGTCAAACGACTTCAAGCCGAACCAGAACTTCGGGTTGACGGACCCATGTAGGACACATTAATGAAGACTGCAAGTTGGTGACGATTCGTACCGTGGATTACGTCTAAAAAACAAGGACAAAAAGGCGGGTGGCACACAGGAGATGTCGTAACTTTCAACCGAAATTTATTACAATACACCTATGAAAATTCTAAAAACTACATGTGCGCAAGCAGGACGCACTAATACATTTCTGTTGAAAGTTACGCCCTGTCCTGTGTGGCACTCGTCTTTTTAGGCATAATCCACAGTATGAACAGATTATAAAACCCCTCAAAAGAAAAAAAAAACATTTTTTTCAAACAGTGTTTGGGACACAGGCATTAAGAAATAAATTTTACGCAAAAAAAATACTCTTAAAGCAATATTGATGACGACAGATTTATTTTAAATTCTACGCGCAAAGTCCATGACATCACAAAATGGTCATTCGCTCTTTCCACCTCATTGTGAATGCGAAGCCGATTCACCTCTCCTCCACGCACCTGAAATGCCGAGAGAAAACAAGTGGAAAGGTGGTGACCACCGACTACATCGCGTCTCGCATCGTCAATATTGCTCTAAAAAAACGTTTTCTTCGCGTAATATTAGTTTTTGACGCGTGTTCTAAGCAGACTGCTTCAAAAATCTTTTTTTTTTTCTTTTTGGGGGTTTCTAATACTGTCACCGATGACAAATAGCAAAACAGTGAAAAACTTGTGCCAAAATGAATGCAATAATCGCCGTTAAACATACAGATGTCGGTGTAACGGCGAGATCCACAGCTGGCACAAGATGTGCCCGATGCAGCGCGCTAGGGCTGCTTTCATGCATGCTCTCGGTTTGGGAAGGTCCTAAGTAGAACACGCGAGAACTGCAAGTAATGAAGTGGGACTTTCCAGAGGAGCGACAAATGGTAGAAATAAAACTATAGTAGTTGGGTTCGGACCCTGAACCTCCACTTGGGAGCTGCACGTGCTGCGAACTCTGCCACACGCGTGGCAACACGAGACATCGCAACTGACAAAAACATTGCACGCAAAACGCAAAACCGATGGCAGATAAGCCGGTGCAAGCTCGAACCTGAGCCGATCTTGATGAGCCCGTTGTGCTGGATGAAGATGGTGTCGCACGTCATGTTGCCATGCAGAATGGGCGGCGAACACGAGTGGAGGTAACTGCGAGAGAGAGAGGCGAGCCAAGGGGGCCACGGTGAGCGCAGGATTCCCTCTCTCGGAACACGTCACGATCGGTCGGGCACGCATCGACGACCGATCGTTTAAAAGTGTCCGACGCGAGGGACTAATTCCCCGCGGGAAGAGAAAGAAAGTGGAAGCAGGGCAGACCTTAGAGCTGAGAGAATCTGGTTGCACCACCTCTTCCATGCCTAAAACGAAAACCACATCCGCGACAACAGTTAAAGCGGCACACAGAAAAAAATACACTGAAAAGCTTTGGGTACAATAAAACGCTCGTACAATCGAGAATCGTAAAGGCCTGATAGGTACCCCACTCTGAACAAAGAGTCTACCAAATAGAGAAAAAGGGTAATCCCCCCCCCCGTTTCTCTATTTGCTCATCAATAGAGAAGGCTGAACTTTTCAAGGGAAGCCACTGGGGCAGAAAGATTCGTTGAGTCAAACATTCGAGATTCAGTAAAATAGAAAGCCTAGACATAAAATGACAAAATCCCCACAAAATCTGAAGAGCTATAGAAGGCTTCAGCTCACTTGTGCCACGATTCTGAAAAATGCTGATGCTCACCGCGCTCGTCGAACCCATGCAGTAAGTCTAAGCTCATTACAACAGACCTGGTTAGAACAGACATTTTGATATAACATACCGACTTGTGAAGTTCGGCTGGTTTTGCTCTACATACAATTGACTCAACTTCATATCTGCACACAACATACCCCTCTTACAACAGACCGAAATTTTTGTCAAAATCAAGGTCTGTTATAACGAGCTTAGACTGCATTGCTCACGGTCCTATCGATCCAGTCGATATATTTTTTGTGATATGCCAGGGTTCCCAATTAAGAGATTAATGTGTCGACTTTTTAAGTAATAATTTGCGCTTAAACCCTCTAGAACAAAAGTTGTAGAGTGCATTAAAAAATGCCCTCTTGCGTCGTTTTCATCAAGAAAGTCATTATCTGTCTAAATTTTTTATTTTAGCTTTAAAGAAAGCGTTTATTTGCATGTAGGCACGCGCGATATTTCAACTCTCAGAGCCTTTCTTTAAAGTTTGAAAAACTTGAACACACAAAGGCTGCCTCGAAGAAAATGACACGATAGGGAGTTTCCTGTGTACAACTTCTGTACTAGAGTGTCTGTGCACAGATTAACAGCTTGGCCCATTGCGAAAAATATCTCGACCAGCTCAACAGGACCATGAACAATACTGTTTTGGACACATGGTTTTGCGCAAAAAAGACGGACACAAGAGAGAGAAACAAACACGAGCGCAACTTACAACTGTATTGAGGAAACCTTTAGAAAACATGCAGATATATCGTCAACTTCAATGCCTTCCCGTTTGCCTTCCCGTTTGCCCCACGTATGTCTTCCCACACGGGAAGACATACGTGGGGCAAACGGGAAGATGTGCCAACGACCGTCTCAGGGAGCATGCTCAAAATTTAGAGACTAATGACTGGGCACATTTGCCTGCACACTGCAGAAACTGTAAGTGTGAGCCACGTTTTTCTGACACTGTAATTTTGGGCGGAAGTAAGGGACAAAAAGCATGTGAACTGTTGGAAGCCTTCTTTATCAAAAAGAAAGGCGACCTATGTGCGAGCGATACCTCGATAAGTTTGTATAATGCTAAGAAACGCGTCCTTGATAAGTTTCTGTGACGAGCGTCTGATAGTGACGCGACGCATGCGTGGACGCATTGAAGTTGACGATATATCTGTATGTTTTCTAAAGGTTTCCTCAATACAGTTTTAAGTTGCGCTCGTGTTTGTTTCTCTCTCTTGTGTCCGTCTTTTTTGCGCAAAACCATGTATCCAAACACTCACCAACTCGCCCAACAACAAACAATTTTACAATACTGTTTTGGTTCAACACCCCTCAGAGGCAGGCTTTGTTTTAAACCAACAGTTAAGAACACTCGTGCACAAATTCCCATTCTGTGGCGGTACCCACATACTCAATGCACTTTCGTCATAACATAGTTTTTTCAAAAGCATCACTTACTGAAACAGGTTGAATATACAAGGTGTTTCCTTTTTGCTTTACAGATTAAGAAAAAAAAAGAAAGCTACACTAATGCAGTTTGTATAGGTGAGTTATCCAGCCAGGAGGACAGAGCAGGGGGGCGAATCGTCACAATAAGTTGGATAATTAACTAAAATTTGTTTATTTACTTTTAAATTAGTGAAAATAAACATACGGTTCAATACAAAACTTGCTGATTGTCATCAAAAACCACTAAACCAGTCAGATTTAGAAATGCTTGGAGTGCATGAAAACGCTATGGTTTGCAAAAGTTACCACTTCTGCAATGGGCACAAGGCTGGGGATGCAGGAACATGGTTGATGACCTTATCATTTGCATTTCTACACGGCCAGCCTTCCACCTGCGGCATGGGTGGAAAATGTAGCGCACCCCCAAAACGATATCCAAGTCTTACTAAAATTGACCGATTTGGTGGTTTACTATGATGCTCAGCAAGTTTCTAACTGGAATCATATGTATATTTTCACTCCTCTAAAAGCGAATGAACAAATTTCGGCTAGTTATCGGATGTATCATTGCAATTAGCCCCTTATATCATGTCCCCCTGGCCATATAACTCACCTCAACAGTTCAGATTAGTGTAGCTGTCACGTCTTTCTTAAAACAAATCTGTAAAACATTAAGAAAACAGCCCATATCTAAATATCGGCCCACTTAATACATACTATGTACGCCACTTGTGTTGCCATCATTGTGACCTCTACCACTCCCAAACGAATGTTGTCATTATTAGAAACATGTATCTCGCAAAAGATGTGTTCATAAGATTCGGCGCAAAGGTGCGGACAAGTCTAACGACACCAACACCACCCGAGAATGCAGTGAAAGCCGCACAATGGCTGGATCTTGCACCGAGTGACCAAGCAGTGCATGCACGTCCAACGCTAGCCCAAACGTGCAAACCCCAATCTCTTGTGTCTTTAAACTAAAGATCGAGGGCACTATCAAAACCACAAATTCTGGCTATCTTGGAAGAAGCTCCCACAATAACCCGCACAAGTAAATTCTAAGAATCGTAACAGAGTCCCGATATCACACTTTAGGCTAACCCTGCTGCATAGTGTGCATGCAAAAAAGTGCTGCCACCTGGCACAAGGTCAACGTACAAATAAATTGACTAACAAACAAACGAGAGCAGCTCGTTCACACAACCCAAATCCACAAGTGGTACCTTATATATGTATATGCCGCCTCAAACCTACACAGTTGCAGTCCCATAAAATTTTAATGTTTCTAGTGCCCTCGAACGATAACGTGCTTTGAAAAGCAACCAGTGTACATGCAGAACTAAGTGCAGCCCTGGAACCTAATGGGTGACAGCAGAAATCTCGACAAACTGGAACAGAACAGGAAGACAACGTAATGAAGACCAATTTGAGGCACCCCCTACCGCTGTCGCACAGAATGGCATCACTTTTTGAAACTTTACCCAAGTTTAACAAGCATCTATTTTGGCTTTTCATGAGCGATTTCTCCGTCTACAGGGGATGGGGAAGTGTCCCGAGAGATAAGAGAAAATAAAGAACTGCAACAAACGTGATTGTGGCGACTTGACACATAGTTTGACGTGGATATTTTCTCTCTCTCGCTTTGTTTTATCTACGGATTATCCGGAAAGTATTTTATTAAAATCTGCAAATATAATGTTAATGTAATGACCCGTTCCGATCGTATGGTGAATTCCACTGGTCGTTTTGGAGCGCGATGCCTTCCCATCATTCACCTTCCCGGGAATACCCTCCCCGCGGTGCTGGATCTCGAAGCACATGACTTCACAATTGCAACGCTATACTCCGCGATAACTTTTCTTGGCAATGCAGTGGAAAGTAGAGGCCCGCGTCCCCTCTCCCATTTTGAGTGTGCGCGGGCTCTCCTCCTCTCCCCGGAAATGGGGAGAGGAGGAGAGACTGCATACACTCAAAATGGAAGAGGGAACATGGGCCTGCACCTTCCACTCCATTGCCAAGAAAAGTTGTCGCGGAGTATAACAACACATGTTAGACGCACGAGCAAAGTTAATCATTATGTGAAAGATGCGTATTGATGAGCGATGTGCCGCAACCCACTTGCCTCTTCATCAGAATACTCGTGAACGGTATCCAAGTATGTCTCGATTTTCGGCCTCTTTTGCGGAGGTCTAAAAAGGCAGTCAAACTCGTGCGGGACATAAAAGCGACCCTCGTCGTCGCTGCTACTCGAGCTGCTGCTGCTGGAAGAGCTGCTCGAGCAACTTGACAACGAACTGTCATCAAGCATCAGCAGCAGTAAAGCAAGCGGCCATTACAAATTCATCGGAGGCGAGATGCCCGGCGATAAAGAAAGTCATGTCTGTGCGCAAGGGCTGGCCAGGCTAACTTCTGGTCATATCCACCGAAATAACCGGAGCGACTTTTCTCGGATCCGGATCGAGATCTGGAGTGGGAGCCGATCTAAAACGACAAGTGGAACATGTCTGTCTCGATCCCGATCGCCCAGTGAAATAGGCGCGCTCCAGAAAGGTCGATCCTGGCGCGCTCCGGAACGACCGGTGGAATTCGCCATTAGAAATGCAACGCGAACGTGCTCCTCTCGAACCACTGAAATTTGTGACGGGAACTCGCTCCAAGATTCAGAAGCAGCGAGAAACTAGCTTTCGCTCCTGGTTTGCAGAATGTTTACAACACTGCCCCGTCCTGCTTCAACCAGCTGCTTCGTTTGCATTTACGACATTCGAGAGAATTCCAATTCCCTAACCTTCATTTCCATGCTGTCACAATAAAAGATGATAGGGTGAAAAGATCTAAGCTTCTCTCCACCACACTATTGGGATATATCCTATGAACACACGATTTCAGGAAGGGCTTTGTTCCCTGGAGTATTAGGATGCAGTCACACACAGAAGCATCCTCTATTTCGCGTCCCTGGTTACTGGCTAGTGCCTTCTGTAGACAATGACGCAACATGCCAAGTCTATGGAGCACTACACACAGCTCTAGATCTCTGGTCAAACTGCCTCATTGATTACTTGGCCATAGTGCGCTCTAAACACCAATTTCGGTAGGCACTATATCCAGCATGAAATAAACTGCAGTGCAACGGAGCACCGATGCTTTGGCACTATAATAACTCCCAGTCAACTAGCAAACCCAGCACAGTGACTGCCATATGTCACTTCCGTACAGCAGAAAGAGTGGTCCAATGCTATCACTAATGGTCTAATGCTATCACTTCAGCTTCACCTTGAACTGCCTCCTCAAAACGTTTGGCAGTCCTCTTCCTAACCACCCGGTTTGTCGAGATAGCTGCAGTCGCAGGTACGAGTTGTGGCCAAGGGTTTGTGCCACCTTAATCAAGGAAACGAGGAACGTTTGGACCAAAATGGCGCAGTGAAAACCAAGGTTAGGAAGAACAAACACAAGCAAACACAACACAAAGCTCACAATACACTAATAGGGACATGCATGGGTGACATGCGATGCCATTGCCATCACTGCACATGCGAGGCTCGTGGGTTCACAGTAAGACATGCTGAGAAACACACAAGCACACACACACAACAAGTCTACTACCATACAGAGCATGCGAAGCAGAGGTCATAGCAGGCACCAGCACCGACACAATAAGCAACGAGAGCCGGAATCTTGTTGATGCAAATATATTGTTTGCATTGGGACAAATTGTGTTTGTCACACCAGAAAAACCTTTGTACTGCTTTGGGACAAACCATATGTTTGTTCCAGCACTGCGAAAAACCATGTGTTCCAGTTCGAAAGCGTACATTTTATTTTTGTACTCGGGGGAAACCGTTTGTCTCAGCGCAGAGGCCCCAATTTTGCACTGGGACAAATTGTGTTTGTCCCAGTGGAAAATAACATGCTTTGTACTGGAATATATGTCATCATTTGCGAGACTCTTAAATGCAATGACACATTCACTGCATGCTCCATAAGGAGTAGCGGCAGAGTGTTGAAAACGCTCATCTGTCGGGGGGCGGGCAGAGACGGCATACCTGCAGGGGCAGCTTGATCACATTACGTTTGGTCTTCTTGAGGAACTGCTTGAGGGAGCCGCTGGACATGTACTCTGTGATGAAGATGACTCGGGGCTTCTCAGAGTCCTTGTCCATCCAGTACTTGTGAATCTTGACTATGTTCGGGTGTTCCAGCTGGGCAAGGCTGTCAAACACCTCGCGAATCTTCTCCTGAAACACGCACAATGAATACGAAGGGAAGAATCTGCTCCGAGTCTATTCAAGTCGATGTTCCCCGAAAACCACACTGGCTCTCAGCAAAAAAAGAGGTCACAAACTGGTTTCATAATTACTCGGCTGCTGACAGTAGCAGCAGAGTTTGAGACACAATGTCTGCTAGTCCGTTTTTTTTTTTTTTGCTTTACAATCACATACAAATCATCATCATCATCATCATCATTTATTTTCCTTGAGGGCCCCAGGGGGCATTATACAAGGGAGTGAACACACTAAAAACATGAACAAAAATAGTTAATAAAAAACACGCTGTAATCTATACTTGTATTTCAGAAAGAAAGAGGTTAACGGCTGCAGCAAACTTGTTAGTATCAGTCATGTTTACAATGAGGTCAGGTAATGAGTTCCAATCGTCAATAGCAGATGGTAAAGTCGACATTTTATAGGAGACTGATGACGAAGTAATTGAGCGTAGTTTACATAAGTGGTCAAAACGAGGGAAAATACGGTAGGGAGGTGATAGTAGAGAATCTTTTAGATGGTTGTTGTGGTAAAAGATTTTGTGAAGAAGAGTGAGACGTGACACCCTTCGACGTAAAGAAAGTAAGTCAAGGTTAGCTGATTTGCGTAATCCTGATATGCTAGTGTATGGGGAGTAGTCAGAGTAAATAAAACGAAGACCTCTGTTTTGAACGGATTCAAGGTTGTTAGTTAGATATGATTGCCATGGTGACCATATGGATGAAGCAAATTCAAGTTTAGATCTGACCAAGGTCGTATAAGCTAGTAGTTTTACTGAAGGTGTAGCTAGTCTGAGGTTACGGCGAAGAAATCCGAGAGTATGGTTAGCATCGGCAGTGACAGCATTTATGTGAGTAGTCCACGACAGATCAGAGGTCAGGTGAACGCCTAGGTATTTATATGAGGAACAGGTAGCTACTGGGATAGTGGAAAGGTGATAAGAAAAGGATGAAATCATGATGATAATGAAAAACTCACCCTCAATTGATCGCTTATCCCATTCTTTCTCACTAGATTTGGCGAAGCGTCTGGGGTGAAAAATGCCGACATGTGCAGGCAACACTCGATGCACCTTAAGTTAGACTGGTAAGTGCGACCTCCGGCGAGCTCATGAAAACTGTGATTTGCAGGTGGATGAGAGAGGCTTCAGTTTCACAACTTTTCAAAGAGGAAGCAAAGCCAGTTTCCGGTAGCAGATGCCATTCACCTCCAGCATTTTCAAGCTTCGTTGGAAACCATTTTCTCACAAATTTTCGATAATCAGTTGAATCGGTTACCGGTAAGCCCTGAAACTGTGGCATGTGGTCCCGATCGCCAGTGCTTTATTTAGGCGGGGACTGAGCAGTTGGCGATGCGTGGTTCATTTCTACAGAAAGAAATAGTTCTCTTTTCTACCAAACACGTAGCACATCCTCTCGTGCAATACACAGCAGAGTGCCACCTGGAGCGGAGTTGCAGACAATATACCTCTTTGGCTTTGAAGTTCTTTCGTTCCGAAAACTTGACTTCGTTCCAGACCACCTCCACACCCTCCTCAGTGTCCATGGCAAGGTAGGCGGCATCGATACCTGGGATGTCACGTTGCTGGACCTGAAATGGTTAAAACAATCGATGAGTCGAAACATGCACCTGCCTTAACGAGGCAAACACTCTCGTACAAAATTTGCTGCAGTTCTAGCACCATTCCAACCGCCCTAGAAAAGCGTGTCATTTAACGTGCACAAAACAGATATCACTCAACAACACTACGACGTTCTAGTCATTATTTGAGCATTGCATTTTCTCTGCAAGTTAGATGCTTGGTCCTGCTTCACAAGCAGCAAGTTATCCTGACCTCTTCAAACTGCAGCATGTGGAACCGTGTGCCTCCCACATTCAACACAGATAGCGCTCAAACAGCAATGTGCAGTGTGCAAATTATCATCGTCAGAAATTCATTTTTATTTGACTATGTACACGATGTCTTCAAATAGCACTCTGATTGCTCACTGATCCCCCCAAGCCACTAGTATGCAAAAACGAACTGAAACAAGCAAAAAAGCAAACAGGAACAAAGCCTTATGCCGTCTTCAGTTATCGTTGTTGCTGCCGCAGGGTGTCGCATAAAACTACTGTGGCCCTGACAAGTTGCTGCCACATGAAATGTTCCCAGGTTGCAACAATTAAATGTTGGTTTCGATCCCGGTCGATCCCAGCAATTTGTGGCACAGCTACTGACCATTTGTCGAAAACCTGCGGGGTCGCAGCACAAATTGCTCAACCAAAGTCGATCTTGCCAATTTTGCCAGTTTTCCACTTCAATGCTAATGATTCTACGACAACAAGCAAGTCCTAATCACAATCAATCAACTCGTACAAATTCCTAACAAAAAAGGTAGAAACTCGATCTCGAAATCACCATTCATAATTAAAAAGAACTAACGTATGACAACAATTTTTATTTTGTCAGCACCATGATGAGTGATACGCACGTTATAGAGAAATTGTCGATCTACAAATGAGAATGTAAGGAACGGAGGAAGAAAGCATGTGATTAAAGGAAAGGGTGCCTCACTACCTGTGCAATTGTGCAACGCTTCTGGAAAAGATGCAAAAAAGGTCACATGATTTGTAAGTTGCCTTCTGCATGCAGTTGAGTGGTACTTGCTGCCCTTAAAAATAAAATGTCTGAAATGACACAATGGGGCTAGACTGCTGGAAGAAGTTTGCCTTCCTACCTTAAAAATGTATGACTAGGTATTGCCACAACAGGCGAGTCCAAGTTAACTGATAGTGATTAATTAGTTAGAATGATCATGCATAGTGAATGAAGGGTGATGCACGAAATAACTCAATCCCAAAACCCCCGTTGCCAATCTCCCGCGTTATCTACCCAATCTCCGAAATCCCCATCGTTCAGAAACCAGCACGTGCAACCCATATACTGGATTCCCTCGCGTTTCTTGTCCTGACAAGACAAAAACACCCCAGGTCTTTGCATTTGTTTAAACATTGAAATCGGAAAGCATGACACATGACTTCCATTTCTACAACAAGGTCTGAAGTTGTGCTAGTTGGTTTAACATAGTTTAAGAAAACAGCGCGAAAAAAACGGAGGACTAGAAGAAGCTCCTCCTTCTAGTCTCTCGTTTTTTCGAGCTGTGCTTGTGTGCTCCACACAAGCACAGCGCTGACTGGCAACTGAAAATTTTACTTCTGCACGAAACAAAAAGTAAACAAGAGACGGGAAAGAAACAAAACAATCAAACCGATGAAACACCCCCAGCATGCCGACTTGTTCCTACGCCGACTTGACGCACCTCTTGATAAAATCCACCTTGTCACCCCCTAAAGCCATTGACGGGGCAGCAACACGCACGCTCCTTTCATAGCTGGCAATAAAGAAGGACCTATCAATTTCTCCCTATCTTATATAAATCTCAATCTCTTCCAAGCGATGGCCGACACACACATCTGTCACAGTGGACTACATCTCTGCTTGAAGCAGCAGGCTCGATTCAAATATTGCATTCAGAAAAAACAAAATGGCAAAACGGCAGAAGGGGGAAAAGTCATTCAGAACACACAAAGTTTCCCCAACAGCAAGCTGAATATTGAAGGGTTCTTGAAGTTGATCCAGCGATTTTGCGGTATTTAGGTAGCATAGACATTGTTCCTATGAAACATCGGACACTACTATGTAAATAAACATCCTACAACTATGCTTTATTAATGAACATTAAGCAGACACAGAATCACTGGGGAAAAGAGTCCGTCTTGAACGAATAAATGAACATGGGAGGGGGTCGCACCACTGGCATGGAGGGGAAATTAGACACAGGAGAATCGATAATCAGGGGAAGCAACACGGGGATTTTGTCGACGGAGTTTTCGACACTCGGGGAAAAGGCGCGTGGCATTTGAGACACGAGAACTGCCACGAGGGAATCATGACAACCATAGTGAATATTGGTAGTTTTGTGTAATAATCTGTTGACCAAACCCATTCTTCTGCTATAATACTATGGCACTGCAGGTTTCTTTGCAAATATATAAAGGAAGCCTGTAAATGGGCTCTAGAAAATGGCATTTTTGACAGGAAATCTTAAAGGGGTTATGAAACGCTTTTCCTCAACTTATAAATCGCGCATTCTACCAAACAGTTCAAGAAGACGGAAAGGGGGGAGTCCCTTCTTGCTCGGACTCTCGTTTGTGCACCCGGACACAGTAAATCTCCCCCTAGAAGATTTTCCCGTCGCTAAAATTCAGACAAAAGTTGATTTCTCCACCCCGTTCACCCCGAAGCTGACAGTGCTGTGGAAGCTACGTGCTCCTTGGGCCAGCCACACTTTTGCCACGTTATCACGCTCTCTCGCGCAGACCCACGCGCAGAGAATGAGGTCAGGTGATGAAAAGAAGGCGGCTGATTGGTTTGGCAAGCGCGTAGCTTCCACCACAATGTCAACATAGGGGTGAAGGGAGTAAGTGAGGTCCGGGATCATGTGACGTGCGTTTGGACCCGGTGACGCGCTTTGGGGACCAAGGATGTATCACAGTGAAAAGGCAGAGAGCTTACGAAGGGAAGGAGGTACGAAATAGTCCACTGTGTTTTCCAATTTTCATACCGAAAGTCAGGCTTCTACCTTTTTTCTTTTGGCCCACTGAATGATGTGCTATTAGTAAAATCCCAATCTAAATTGATTTATCCCAGCCCAAAATTTGTTTCATGGGCTCTTTAAGTTGTATCCCAGGCTGCGCAGTGGACTTCTTAAAGGAGGATTCAGATGTTTTCATTTCAGTAGGCGCAACTGCACTACAAGCCCTGAACTTCCACTACGACACGCTGTGAAGCTGAAAGCTGTCATAACGCAGTCAGTTGTACTCAAAATGCAGACGTCTGAACCAGCCTTTAAGTAGCAACAGAAAAGTGATGCTTCATCACACTCACAAAGAACTGCTTCCAGTTCTTTGTGTAGGCGATAAAAAGGCTGCAAGTGTTGATGTAACAGAATCAAACAAGCTAAAGATTCCGGAACCAATAGGAACTCGAGTGACAGAAGGCCTTCTGTGTTGTATCAGATCTGATGTTAATGTCCAGTTTCAGCCAGCTGTAAAGAGCAGTCTGGCAACCTGAATAAACCAGTTTCGTTATAAGACAAACTCGATGCATGGTGTCAGAAGTGACTAGTCCCGCAAAGAAGGGCGGTGAACTAAGAAGAAAGCCGAACCATGGACATGCTCAAACTTCCCGAGGCCCTGAACTCGACAGGGAACGTAGCGGATAACTGGCAACAGTTCAAACAACGAGTGGAACTGCACCTACGGGCGACGGAGACCACCAAGCGGACCGATGAACAAAGGGCAGCCATTTTGCTTCATGTGGCGGGACCCGGTGCCATCAAAGTCCACAACACCTTTACCTTCGCACCTGAAGAAAAACAGGACCACCAGACAGTACTGAAGAAGTTTGAAGAGTACTGCATGCCCCGGAAAAATGAAACCTACGAACGGTACGTGTTTCATCACGAAAACAAGAAAGTGGTGTGCCGTTTGAACAGTTTGTGCGAGAGCTACAACTAAAAGTGAAATCGTGCAACTTCTCGACTTTGTCGGACTCCATGGTATGAGATCAAATCGTATGTGGGGTAACACACAAAAAACTGCGAGAGCGTTTGTTGCGCGAAGAAGATCTGACGTTGGAAAAGGCCATACAGCTCAGAAAGGCCTATGAGGTTCTTCAGGCACAAAATGAAGCTCTCGACGGTCCCCGACGTGTCGACACAGTAGACAAAAAGAAGAGAGCGGACATGCATGAGCGGAAAGTCCAACTGACAGAAAAAAATTGTCCCAAGTGCGACCGGAAGCACGACCCACGGAAGTGTCCGGCATACAACAAAAAGTGCAGCAAATGTCACAGGATGAACCACTTCACTGTGTATTGCAAAACGAAGTCTTCGGTAGATGAAGTAAAAGAACAGGATGACAGCGACTTCGCCGTCCTTCAGGTCAGCACATGCAAGGCTATAAAAGGTGACGAGTGGCTGGTCAAGGCCCTCGTAGCTAACAAGGAAGTGGAACTAAAAGTTGACACAGGGTCCCAGGCAAATCTTTTGCCAAGCTCACTGTTCCGGAAGCTACACAAGACGGCGAGCCTGAAGCCAAGCATTTCAGTCCTAAATGGCTACAACGATGGTGTGATTGCACACCAAGGGAAAGCACTGCTGGAAGTGAAACTCAAGGGAAAGAGCGCAAACATTGAGTTCTTCACCGTGAAAAAAGGACGCCAGGCCATAATGGGCTTAGCAGCAAGTGAACTCCTGGGGCTGGTCCAGCGAGTGCACATGGTGAAAGGAACTATGGCCCAAGAAGTGGAACAGAAGTTTCCTAAGTTGTTTAAAGGACTTGGATGCGTTGGACGTGAGTGTAAGATAATCCTTACAGAAGGAGCAGAGCCAGTGGTACAGCCGACGAGAAGAGTGCGACAAGCTCTGAAAGAACCACTCAAGAAAGAACTCCAGAGAATGGAAGAGGCTGGAGTCATCACCCGCATCAGTGAACCTATCGATTGGGTAAGCCCAATTCTGATAGTCAAGAAGAAAGGAGGTGCTCTGAGAATCTGCATGGATCCAAGGCAAGTGAATGAATCCATCAAACGGCAGCACTACCAAATGCCACGCCGTGAAGACATCGAAGCTGAACTGGCAAACGCCAAATTCTTCTCAAGGCTGGATGCCAATAGTGGGTATCACCAAATACCATTAGATGAGACGCCCTCTCGAGTGTGCACGTTTGGTACGCCATTTGGACGCTACTGATTTCTGAGACTACCATTTGGCATCTCATTGTCACCGAAGTCTTCCAACAGATCATGACTGAAGTTTTTGATGGACTTGAAGGAGTAAGAGTGTATGTTGACATTGTACTCGTATGGGGTCGATCCAAGGAGCAGGGGTGGAACTCATGAAATGTACTTGGGAGCAGCCACGGGAGCAGCTGAAACAGTTGTTTTGGAGCAGCTTGGGAGCAGCTAAAACTACATTCTGGAGCAGGCTAGGAGCAGCTCAAATCAGTTTTTATTGCAGCCTTCAGGTTCTGTCTTAGACAATCACAGGAGCAATTTCAATTATGCTTTGCAGCGCAGATTAACATGAGTGGTTAGGGATCTAGGTGGAAGGCATAACAGTGTAAAAAATTCGAAAACTTGAAACTTTGTGAGTCTTAATGAGAACCAAAAAGCAAGTACCATGTTTCTGAAGATATATATATAGTGTCCTTAGTATTTTCTGAGTGGCTTTCAGCTGCTCAAAATGCAAACCAGCACTGCCTATCACACAACCCACACGTGTTCGACATAGTAATTCTATATGTGTGAACCATGTGACGTGTTTAAGCAACGGACGAGTAGTTGCGCGGAGGAACAGTGCAACCAATTTCAAGTTTATCCTATTGTGCAACTCAATATCCAGACGGCAGACTACGATTAACGGAGTTATCGTATTTGAGGCGATAAGCAGGAGCAAGGTTAAAGTACGCCGAGCAGATCTATCGCTCGCGTGAGAGCTGCTGGTCGACAAGGTTTCGGATCGGACCGCGTTTCAGTTCTAGAAAATCACGATTTATCTTGCGGGAATGTGGTTCTAACTTCTAACGATGAAGTACTAAACGCATATTTTGCTCATTTGTTTTCAACTGGCTGACGTGCGGATCCCGGGCCTCAGAGCCTCAGACAATCTGACGCTTTACTACTCGACCCCGCTTATGGTTGAAGAATAATGATCCAGTCGCAGGTGGTGTAACGCTTGGAATGCAACCCCAAAGTTTCTTTTTTTTTTTGTGTGTGTGTGTGTGCGCGCTTCCGATTCGGGATACACAGGGAGAATAAACAGAACAAAGGATTGCAAGGTCGACCAAGCTAAACGCGCTCATTGTTGCCAATCGAGTCGATAGAAACCGAAACCAAGACAAAATAGAATTTTTTTTGCGCACGTTTTGAGATTTGGAGCATAATGGCGCGAGGTACTGGCTTTGGCGCAGTTTCCGCAACATGGCGCAGGATGGTGCAGACAAATGCCTCTGGCGCAAAATGGCGCAAATGGCGCAGCCGTTCCACCCCTGAAGGAGGAGCATGATAAGAGGCTATGGGAAGCACTCAAAGCAGCCCAAAGAGCTGGAATGACCTTCAACAAGGAAAAGTGTCAATTTGCGGTCCAAGAGATTAGCTACCTGGGTGACCGAATCACTAAAAATGGAGTGGAGCCGGATACATCACTGGTAGCATCAGTGCTTCAGATGTCTACTCCTCAAAGCAAGAAGGAAGTACAGCGGATGTTGGGAGTCAACAACTATGTAGGCAAGTATTTGTCACACTTGTCGCAAGGAACAAATCCTCTTAGAAGCCTCATCAAGGATGATGTGATATTGGAGTGGACTGAGGCTCACGAAGCAGAATGGGATAGACTGAAGAGAACACTGACTAACAAGCCAGTGTTAGCATTTTTTGACCCTGAAAAGAAGACAAGAGTGACAGCTGATGCATCCCAGTATGGACTGGCAGCAGCACTCCTACAGTTCAATGATACAGAGTGGCGTTTAGTAGCATATGCGTCAAAAGTGATGACCGACTGTGAGGTGCGATATGCACAAATTGAAAAAGAGACGCTCGCCATCACGCTTGCCTGAGAGAAGTTCCATGACTTCATTTATGGTCGCAAGTTCACACTGGAAACCGACCATCGACCATTGATCTCCATAGCAAAATCTCCATAGCAAAGAAAAGCATTGGAGACATGTCACCTCGTCTGCAGCGATTTTTTATTCGTCTGATGAAGTACGAGTTTGACCTGTGCTATCTGCCTGGAAAGAACTTGGTGCTAGCCGACACATTGTCTCGCGCACCGTTAAAAGAGGCCAAAAAGGAAGAGGTAGAACTGGATGATGTTGAAGTACATGCTGTCAGCATAGTGTCCACAACACTGAGTCAAGCGACACTTCAAGAGGCCACAGAGAGTGATGACGAGCTACAAGGAGTTATCGCACGGATCCACCAGGGTCAAGAACAACAGGGAGACCTCAAGGGATACACATCAGAGTTGACCCTGGTCAACGGTGTCCTGTTAAAGGGCTCAAGAATAGTAGGTCCGAAAGCTTGTCGTGCAGACATACTGGCAAGACTGCATGAAGGACACTTAGGCATGAGCAAATGCAAGGCTCGTGCTAGAGCTTCAGTATTCTGGCCAAGAATGAATGCTGACATTGAGTCATACATATCAAAGTGTGCAGCTTGTCGAACATTTGCCTACCAGCAACCTGCTGAACCACTCATCATGAGAGAAGTACCCAGTAAAGCGTGGGAGAGGGTTGGAGCTGATCTGTGCCAACATGCAGGATTGTCTTACCTTGTGGTATATGATGCCTACTCCAATTACCCTGAAGTGGTGCAGCTAACAGAGACTAGTGCTGTTGCAGTGATCGACCATATGGCAAGTGTTTTCGCCAGACATGAAATCCCCAAAGAAGTCTGCACCGACAATGGTCCACAATTTGCAAGCAGAGAATTTGCAGCATTTGCAAGAAACTATGAGTTCGAACATATCACCTCGAGCCCAAGATTTTCAAGAGCGAATGGATTAGCAGAAAAAGGGGTCCAAGCTGTGAAAAGGATTCTAAAGAAAACCCAGTATGCCAAAGAAGATTTTTGGCTAGGGCTGCTAAACTACAGGTGCACACCACTCAAGAATGGACGGTCACCTTGCGAGTTATCCATGGGGCGACGATTGAGGTCTCGACTGCCTGACTTCTCATCAGCACAAGGACAGAAAGTGGAAAAACACAAACAAAATGTCAGTGCTGGCAGGCATTTGGAGCCACTGGGCACTGGACAGGCGGTGCGTCTGAGAGATGACGGAAAGTGGAGAGTCAAAGCACAAGTCAAAGAGCAAGTGGCGCCAAGATCCTATGTGGTGCAAGCTGAGAATGGTGCTGTGTACAGATGGAACAGACAGCATTTACCTGTGAGCAAGGAAGCATTTGAACCCATCTCCGACTCTGAGGACATGGATGTTCCACAAGTGCCCAACGAGGACAAGGTGCAGCATAAAAAAACTCGTGACCATGAAAGTGAAATAATGGATGGTCCTACAGACTATCCAGCGCCGGTGCCCGTGCAACCTCCCACTAGAGTGTCATCAAGACCAAGAAAGAAGAAAGTGAAGCTTACTTATGGTGAACACTTCAGCCAGGCATGTTAGTCAAGTTGTAGTGTTCCAAGTTTGTTCCTTGTTTAGAAAGTGAAGCTTACTTGTGATGAACACTCCAACCAAGCATGTTAGTCACGTTGTGTTTCAAGTTTGTCCTTTGTTAGAAAGGAAGATGTATCAGATCTGATGGTAATGTCCAGTTTCAGCCGGCTGTAAAGAGCACTATGTCAATGCAGTCTTCAAGCTCGGATATAAATTATGCCACAGATGCATGTCTGTAAAATGGCATGGCACGCTAGACTTGTCAACAGCGAAAGCAGTCATGGCAGACAGACAGTGACACTTAGTGACAGCCAAACAAAGACCAAAGGTTGCAGAAGCCGATAAGGAAACGAAAACTTGTGAGACGGAACATACAATCTGCCGACATTTTGCGCAAGAACAGCAAGAACATTTTGCGCAAGAACAGCAAAGTGACAGCGACTCGCATAGGCCGGGTAAATTATAAACACTTCCCAAGGTAAACAGATGCTATCGAAACACGCATGGCTTGACGTCAATGCGCAATCGCACGTGTTGCAGGAGTTTGCTGCGTACAATTACAGTTGTACAACTGAAGCTGAAGAAAGTACGCTAGCGGCAGCACGACAACCAGCATGGCGGCTGACGTCAGCCGTCAGCGCATGCCGACCATTCATCCGGTTCGGGACAGCGGTGGTACGGGTTCCTATCGATCGAGACGGTACGGTTAACCTTTCAGCGGGGTAAAGCGACCCCAATCTGGGAAACGATGGATGGATACCTCTTCCCTGCGCTTGAGCCAGCGGCCGCAGGGGCTCTCTTCCAAGACCTCACTCTCGTCCTCGGAGTCGTCACCGCTGCCCCGCTGCTCGTTGGATTCCTGAGGAATCTTGCCGTCCTTGTTGTCGCCCATCCTGGCAGAGTGTCGGTCCTGGCGACCGACCTTAAACGGTAAATCACCGGCTTCCGTTCAAAGGGACTCGGACCGCTAGAAGTACGCAGCACATACGTAGTACCACGGCACCAGAGCCCGCACAGCACTACCCCACTGTCGGGTTAATCCGAGTGAGCTTGCTTAGCTCTAGAACACTAGAAACTGTATTGACTGTACTACACAAAATGCAGTTCTCGATCCAGTGACTCAGGCGCCCAACCAGCTCAAGCAGTTCCGGATCAGATAGGCTCGAAATACGACGCAGACAAGAAGGCACATCACAGACGGGCAGACACCGAAATTCCCAAGATGCAATACTATATCTACCGCGGTCCGTAACTCTGATAAGTCCAATATCACTCCGATTGTGTACGATCATAGCACTTTTATGACATCAAATAGAACAATATAATATGGTATTAGTATGAATTCTTGCTTAAAACGTATCCCCTTGATCCGCAACAAATTGTCATAAAATGTTTGCGCAGATAAGCTAAAATGTTTTGAGCACTATCTTTGTTTTTAAATTGGACAGTGGTTGTTTTTATTTATCATGCACCATTGTTTATTTCTTTTACAAATGTTTTTGCAATTTTCTTTTTTTTAATTTTGAACTATTTTAGCATTAATTTAGTTTTTTCACTTTTGCAGTTTCTTATCCAACGTCATCGTTAGAAATTGACCCTTCGTACTTTTGTTAAATATTTCGCCGGTCGCTCGGAGCCCGACGTCGCCACCGTCGCCCTCGCCTCCACAAAGCGGCACAGAAGCGGGCACGTGTAAATGGCTGCATACGTTCGATTGGGATAAATCTGTGCAGCTTGACCTGATCTGACCCGCGGGACACGCAGCCACTGTCCCGACCTTCCTGAGCCGGCAATGGGCGCCTACCTCTCCGAACCCATCACCGAGAAATGCTCGACGGACGAGAGCGGACCCAGAGTGTCCTACGGAGCCTCTTCGATGCAGGGCTGGCGCATGACCCAAGAGGTATGTACGAAGCCGCGCAAACGTTCCGGACCCTTTTAGCAAACCGTTCCATTTCGGAACGGTTCTCGAACACTCTCTTGTCAATCGTGCTTCGAATCTGGAACAAGTGACGAACCGGCACTCAATGTTGGTGAAGCGGTCTCGCTCCGAATTCGTAGTCGCGAGCTGCTTGTCAATTGTATCCTGACAACGCCTCGAACAATACCGGTTTGCGGACTTTATTGAGTATCGGCGACGCCAGCATTTTCAGTTTTTTGCCGTGTGCCGTGTTTGGTTCATTCATCCCCGCGCGCGCAAGCTCTGTAGTGGACCTCTTTGTAGTACCGCCAATACGGCCTACGGCTCCGCCCACAACGCTCGTAAACAGACCTTCCAGAAATTGGAGCTTTCTAGCGTTGCGTGTGAACTGGATTGCTTCGTGTAAAGTTAGCGCAGACGGAACGCTAGCCGTCAGTATGGTTTCGCCGGAGCACTGTAGTCCAAAGATCCCTGGTTCCGTAACCCAGTCTCCCAGTTCCTGCTTATCATACCGGTCCAAATCCTATCGTATGCATTACGTGCGAATTACTGCAGACCTCGCAGATTTATAATGGGCCGGCGGCTTTCCAGGAAATAGAGAACAAAGCGATAAATCTTTAAAGGGGCGATGCAACGATTTTCGTATTTTGCGCAAATACCGTTTAGAACGAATCCATAACTTTAATGACTTGTAAAATACCCGTTCGTTCTTCACCACACGCAATCGAAGTCACAGAAAAAAAATAAAGAAAAACGAGCAGAGTTAACCCCTCAACTCGCAGCCGGAACAAGTGGCCACATGATCTGGAGCCAATTATATGCCACCAATGTTGATCATAGCCATGCGCTGGGGGTTGGCAAGGCACAAGACATGCGCTGCGTTCCAGACATTTTTATGGTTTGTCTGTTGTCGTCATTGCAGTGATTGGACACGGAACACTACCCGAATACTTCTCGAGCTATAGGTTATCACGAGCCCAAATCGAGTGCCCACGCAATGTTCGGGTCGAATCTATGAGCCGCATTCAAATATCGTCACTGGGCGGTACTGCTACCGCCCAGCTACGTCATCAGGTTTTGCGAAGGAGAGATTGAATGAAAACGCCGGGTTTTGTCCTCGAAATTACAGCGTAACAAAGGAATTTCTTGGTCAGTGGCGTTGCGTGCGAGTATCCTTGAGTCCCACTAGTGCCAGTAAACTCATGTAAAGTGAAAAACATTCCAAGTGAATATCATTGCACCGTTCCTTTAAAGGGATACTACAACGAAATTTCGGCGCTCATTTTTTGGTCTATATGTGTTCAAAGGAGCAGCATCACATCGAACATACTAATATCTTGTTAAAAAAGTCACGAAAAGGAATTTTAAAACGATTAGCAAAGAGCACCTGGTGGATGTCGCTAACGCCTCGCTCGTAATGCCCGTCTAGGAACCTTGACAGCTAGTGACGGAGGTTGTCTCGCCTCCGGCCACGACGAGAGAAGAGGGGCAGGAGAAACTCCCCTCTTCCCGAGAATGCCTTTTGTGTGTCGCAGAAGTCGCTATTGTCCCCCTGCAAGATTACAGAAAATTAACCCGTCACTCGAAATTCGTACAAAAGCAGCTGCTTCGGTGGGTGGAACGACAAGGCCATCCTCTCGACGTCAGCCTCGCCGTAGCTTTGCTCGTCCCGAGACGACTTACGTCAGAATTGCGTTGGATGTCACGTGGTCTCCGCTGGGCCTTCTCCGAGCGCTTGCCAGAGTGGGCCGTTTATAACGAAAAATACAGCCACCAGGCTCAAAATACAAGCGTGGGATTGTTATTTATGGATATTGTGGATTATATTCAGCCTATTTTTGAACACGACAGGAATATTTCAAATTTCGATGAAGCATCTCTTTAATACCGTTACTTGAGGACGAATGCATAAAATAACAGTTCGCTGAGCAGAACGTAAGAGCGCAAGTGAGCTGGTGTATATCAAACATTTTAGTGAAAAACCCGAGACTGAGGTAATGACAGACGATGACAAGGAAGAGAAGGAGAACATCTCAAAAAAGAGAGACATTCTCCTTCTTTTCCTTGTCGTCGTCTGTCATTACCTCAGTCTCGAGTTTTTCACTAAAAAGCAGTTTGCGGTTCATGTCACAAATAAAGGGAGCTATGCGGTAAAGTTTAGTTGAGAATATTAAATTTGATTTTATATTTTATTATGATTTTGCTCCAACCAAAGCTCTTCAGCTCGCCCGAAATATCTCCCGGCGACGGAAATTGGAGCTTTGCAAGGATGCAGTGGCAAGTGCAGTTACGCAAGAACGCTAAGAGTGAAAAATGCCAATGAGCCACCTGACCCGGCTTTCGACAATTTCCAAGTTTACGGCACTTTGGCTGCTTTGGAGACAAATTGCCTCTTGCATTTATTTATCTATTTATTTATTTATTGTTTCCTCGGCTCCGCGGAAGGCATTATAGAGGGAGAGAGCAACAATATAGTAATACAATTAAAAATACGGGGACAAATTAGAATAAAAAACAAAATGCCGTTTTGACGCACTCGTCAAGAGCATGGTTAGTTAACGCAGATTTAAAATGCTCGGAGTCCGTGATGGAAGTAGTTGAGTCAGGACGGTGGTTGCAGCGTGGGAGCGGAGCACTGTCGTCACTGGCAAGGTGAGAACTGGAGGGAGGGGCTTCACTTGTCCTGCCTCCAGCACCAGCTTCCTAACTTCAACAGGCGGAAGGCATGGAGCGGTGTGCTGGAGGCGTTTGAAAGATGCAGCTTGTCATTCTGTCGGTGAAATATTGACAGATATGCCTCATGAAATGTGGTGTCATTTTCCATGCAGGATGCCCACAACACAATTCTCAACTATGACAAGGACACATCGTTCTTCGCAGTCTACGATGGCCACGGAGGTGAGGAAACCTTGTCACTCGAGGCCCTGGAGTTTGTTCTCGCATGTCCTGTCACCAAACCTCTCAATGTACAAATGAAAGTGTGCTTATGAGGGCATGTTGTAGCTTGGTAATATCAGCTTGCCAAAAAGATTACTAATGGAGAACCTCGAAAGACTTGGCGTAGATGCTTTCGGCACCGGCGTGTTGGGGCTGGAAGAGCGACGGTGGCAAAACTTGTCAAGAAGAAGATTCCGGTTGTACAAACAGTGTTCACCCCGCGCGAGCGATGAACGGGCGTGAGTGCCAGCAGACGGTAGTTATTCAAAATAGAATTATACATACCTTGTGAGCTACATTTTCTTCCTAGTTTTCCTCAAAAATATGATAGCAACAATGTGTTGCTTCCTAAAACTGTCGGACCAATGCCCGGCCTGGACAAACGTGCTCTACGAATGAATTCAACCTAACACTTTGAATCGGGCTGTGGCTTGTTCGTACCGCCTAGCTGCAAGTTCGGCACTCGTTTTCGGTGCCTTCACAGCCCCTATTTTTGTCGAATACGTGCTCAAAGCTGCTTGTTATTGTTATTGTCTTACAGTTGGCATCAGTTACTCAGTCTGGTCATAACACAGTTTTGCGGTAGCGAGCATTTTTTTGTCAGCAACCAATTTAAACTATGTTAACTCGTTGAGCTATTCTTCATTATCGAGGAAAAGTAGCATTATTGCCTGGTGAACTAGTCATTAACGACGGAAAATATAAGGCAAGACTTTATTTGCTTTTTAACGATGCACAGATGGGCAGACAGCCAAAATTTGGAGCGCCAGCTGGTTGATTGTCAGCCCGCATCGCTTGGAAAACCGTTGTTTTGTTCCTTTTGAATTCTTGAGTCAATTCCTTCCCCGTCTCAACCACATTTACGGTCCACAGATTCAGTGGTTTTCACCTCTGTCTGTGCGAACATTTAGCTCCTAATACAAACTGCTCTGGGTCTATGACGACGTCGACAAAACGGTGTCGTCGTAGACGTTGTCATCAACGAAACGGTGTCGTCAGCGGTTTTCCAGGTAATCTAGCGGGAGAAATGACAGCTTTGATGCCAGCAGGGTTTTCAGTGGTTTTAACCCCTAAGTGCCAAGTTTTTTTTCCCCAAAAGTAACCTAAAAGGGCCATATTTTTTTTTTTATTTTGAAATGTTATTCTTTTAAAATAAACAAAAAAAAACAAACAAAAAACATAAAATTTGAAAAGTTTATTACGCAAAAATCAGCGGAGACGAAAAAAATATTTACCAGTTAAAACGAGTTCTGCCATCTATGATCAGCGCCGCAAAACTACTCGGACGAGCCTAGCTCGTCCGTGGAAATAAGGGCTACCGAAAAAACCACTGGACGAGCTGAGCTCGTCCACGGCATTTTTAGCCAGAAAGTGGTCGACGAGCTCAGCTCGTTCCAGGCACTTAAAGGGCTACTCCACCGATTTTTTCATTGTCTCCGATTTGCTTGAAATTTTGCTAAACTAACCAACAAACATCGCGAAAATAGTATCCCAAATATTAGGTGAAAATATTGTTTTTTCGCGAAGTTATTGAATTTACAGTTTTGGTCCTCACCGTGTTTTTCAAGCTCGAAGTCTCTACTGGCAACAATGAAAAAGTGACGTCAGTGGAAGGCAGGGGTTCACTCTTTGGGCTGTAGATTTTGTTTTAAACTGATTCGAAGCAGTTTCATGGTGTCAAATGAATGCTTGGGAAGCTCACTGCAGTACCCGCGCTCCAGCACGGAACAAATGATTGGCATAATCTATTTTTTGGCTGCTTGCTCGACTGTCAAGCCTGCCTGCCACTGACGTCACGGCCCTGAAAAGCGCGCGTATATTTGAATGTTGGTTTTTGCATCATTTTCATTTGCCGATTTCGCAATAACTATTATGAATTTCGCGATTCTAAATAGCATACCGGAGAGAGTAAAGGCCGGGGAGTCAGAAAATATAGTTAGTTGAGGTAGCTCAAAAAATCGGTGGAGTACCCCTTTAAGGGGTTAATGTCACGTTGCAGCAGGGCTGCCAGCGCGGAAATTCAAAGTTTCCCTAGCGGACGCTTGAAATTTTTTTCGCTTGTCCAAATATTTATGTACCATAAAATACCAAGCAAGCGCCCACTCAAACTTTGGAGATAATCTAAAAAAAAAAAAAATGGGGGATGGGCGCTTGTCCGGTCATCAATAGACTACTTCCATAAAGCCCCGCATGCAACACGGCGCACGTTGCACTCTGGGAACTAGTTGGCCAGGGAGGAGGGTGGCATGGTTTCGGTTTCGATCGACACGTCGACAAGAGATTGTTTTCTGGTCCCGAGAGCGTCATTTGTGGTCTCTAAACTAACCTAAATGGCCAGGCCTCGAAGCTTTAGCACAAGCCTGAGACGTATAGCTTGTCTTAACACATGCTTGTTGTATTTTTGTACTTGAGCTTTCCTGTTAGCGTTCCAATCGAGGTATGTGGACGAGCCAATGCTGGGAATCTCGACGCTGCGAACCTCGGGGATCTTGCTTGTGTACGAATCAACAAGCTGTAGCAACCAATAGGTACGCATAGATCGAGCTCGCGCCTTTACATTAGTGTTGTTGATCAGGAAGTTTGTTTGTTTCGTGCGTCCATAGACGAAATATTACTTTTTGCAATTACTGTATTTCTTAATATGCCTGAGTATGCGAGGTAAAACTCGGAGGCGCCATTGAAAAGCTCAATTTTGACACACTTCTTATCTCTTATCTGTACTGACCCGCAGCACTGCACGAAGTGAAGTCCCCACCCGCTTGCATTCCACTATTATTCAACATCGCGTATGCACATAAAGTTATCCTGCAATCATATAGGCAAATTCGCACATACAGACCGTTTTGAGAAAGCAAAATTCGAGCACTTGTGTGAAGAATGTCGCACCGTTCCCCGGTAGTGCGCCGGACGGGCATGAACCCCCATGCGCACCGCATAGGGGTTCATGCCCGTCCGGCGCACGGTGCGACATTCTTCACACAAGACTCGAACGAATTCAAAGCGCGTTTGACGGGTGCTAATGGCCATAATATTTGTTATGTGTTTGTTTTCTTTCTGCCTGAGTATGCCGAGATAATTTCAGACACACCGTTCAGGCGCAGATCTTGGGCGTCAGTAAAAGATCGTCCAAAAAGGCTTAGCGAGGAGTAGGGGAAGCTTGTTAGGGCCTCCGTCGTAGCTAGCCGATCTCAGCATTTGCAAGAAGTTAATCTTCTATACATAAAATTCGAGTGGGAGATATATGATGACACGAGGAAGACATCATAGTAACTTTTGTGCAGTAGCGAGGTCGAATTTATTGCGTTTCCTTAAAAGTTCATGCGTAAACGCTGGGCTCAACTTTGATACCGTGTGAAAATGCGGCTTTCTTTTCGCCCAATGAAGTAACAAGAAACGGACGTTTGGCAAATAAAATACGTATAAGGCTCCAGATGAACAAATTTCAGTTCTAGTTCAGTGGTACTAGACGGGATTATTGAAATTGAGCTCAAACGTGCACTCGTAGGGTGAGGTGACTAAGCCACGTCTTACTACGTTCGCATCGCACGCACAATATCCGGTGTTTCGGGAACCAAGGAACCTGCCCCGGTCTTCGTTTTGTATAGCTCGAGAATGAGTGTATTTTACGTTCGTGAAAAGTCAGATAATCGAAAACGCAAGCAGCGTTCGGTCGCGGCGTGATAGCATGAGGTGAAGCTGCTCAGTCGAAACCGAAACTGAGTGGCCAACTAGTTCCCAGAGTGCACTGCGTGGTATTTCGCCGCGATGGGGCGCGTCGGTTTTGGAAGTAGTCCATTTTACGTATAAATATGCTGTTCATATTTTCTCAGATCTTTCAAATTTGGTAATGGGTGCTTAATGTGGAATGGGCGGATGCACGGTATTCTACGGTAATACTAAATATTCATTGTTTTCTGCATCACTTAACATTTTTACTATGAGAAATATATTACATGCGGCAGGGCTGTGCAGTATCGCGATAGTATCTTAGGATACTATGGAGTATCTGTATCGAGGTACATTTGAAAAAGGTTTATTAAAAACGACCCAACGTTGGGCCGTATTAAAATACGGCCCAACGTTTCGAAGCCGGTTCGGCTTCTTCTTCAGGGGCGATTATGGAGGAAAGGAGCCGCAATTCCTCCATAGTCGCCCCTGAAGAAGCCGAACCGGTTTCGAAACGTTGTGCCCCTGATTTAGGGATTGGTTGGTCGTCATATTTTAATAAACATTTCCCCAACCAGACAGTTCTGTCTAATGTTTACCTTTAAATTTGAAAAATGTATTTGTACCTTGATAGTGATACATGCATTTACTATGTGTCGCTTGTATTGTGATACTTTACCAGACTTGGGTATCTCGTTACATTTGTTGCGGTTTTTTACAATAAATTTAAAGGATAAAAACATGTTTGGTGCAAGGTGCTTCAGAATTTATGATATTAACCCGCCCTATAACATGATCCATCACCGTCGCCAACATTAAAAAAAAAGCTGGTTTAAAGAAGGTCACTTGCAAGAATTACAGAGTAAGCTCCTGTCACAAAGCCTTCCCTTTTTCCCATTTAGTAGAGTGAACGCTGTAAAGGAGTTGAGTGTAGAAAAGATATGGCTCTGTTCCCCAATCTCCCCACAATATGGGTGACTCGGAAACATATAATACCCCTGCCAGACGGGCACGTTAAATGACATTTAAACAAAATGACATTACAGCTCGGCCAATCCGCGTGTTTAATACGCCACGCGGCGCATGCACGCACCACGTGCAGAACCAGGCTCTCGAGCTGATTCGGCGAGCGGTGAATGACATTCAATCAAAATTACATTTACTTTCCCGTCTGACAGGGGTATAAGACGGTAGTTTGAGTTGCGTTGTCACGGCAAAATAGGGTTCATTTCGTGCAGACGTCTTTTGTCAAGCAAGCCACGCAGTATTTACTGATCAGTAACTATGTAGTTCAC